AACATTGTTTTAAAAATTCTAACACACAATAACCCATTCTTACTTTGTAAATCAATTTGTCGTTTTGATATTTTTCATCGTTTACGGCAGGTTTTTCATATTTTGAAGACCTTAAAACATGATTATTTGCAAAGTGTAATATATATAAATTGTATTTAAAACTATAAGTGAAATGATGAAAACTTCTCCCTGAATTGAGTGTAAAATTTCTGAAATTTGTTGATAGACATAGTGCTTTGAACATCAAATAGTATCAAACATTTTTTTTCAACTTATCTTTAGTAAAGATAGTTAAAAAGCATTGGTAATTATAAAGCAGTTTTGTTGCACTCCTGACTGCAGTTAAATTTAAAATTAAAACCATATAACACAAAAATTCATAAAGTGTTGGCAACATCAAGTGGTAATGAAATTGTGCAATATTTATAACCCAACACTTCAGTATTAAAACAGATGAAAGTATTTAAAATTCACATTTTATCTGAAATTATTCCCTATTTATGCCAAAAAACTAGCTTAAATGTATATTTAGAAGATAAAATATATTTTATAGCATATTTTCCTCTAGAGGACAAACACAGTAACCCACTAGAAAAATTCTATTCATCATTTTTTCTTTATTTTTATTCTTACTGGATGATTAATAATTCGAACATATTTGTTGCACTCCTGACCAAAAGCATTGGGGCCTTCAAAGTAGAATTGTGAAGTGAAAATTACATAAGAACTTGTTCTGTTGTTTCAGTGAAGTTGAGGAGGAATTACTTGAATTTTATGACAATTTTTTAGTGTGTTTATTTTTAACGTTCATTAAAAAATCACAAAAAAGATAAAAACACATCTGAATTGATAAAATTGAAAAAGGAAGGATTTTAATAATAAAACTGTCAATAATTTAGTATTAAATTAATATACAAAAAGATCATTATTGATTAATGAATACTTCTAAGCGTGAATAGAAGTGTTTTCGACACACAATTTGAATCTTTAAAAAAATGTGTTGCACTCCTGACCATAGAAATATGGATCTGAAGCACAGACAGATCCTGTAGTTCATAAATCTATTTGGTAAAAATGTTCTTTGTGTCTTTATTTTCCAAAATAAAAATCAGAAAATCATATAATGATAATAGTTTTTTCATGCTTGGGAGCAAAACATCAAATGTTGCACTCCTGACATTATTGGGTATGCACATATACTTGACCCTCATTAATGCTGCTTGTGATTTATATAAAATTTTTAAGTTTTAAAATGTATATCAGTTATTGTTTTACACTTCAAAAATTCTTTTTTGTCTTAATTTTCTTTCAGAATTTTACAATTGATGTTTTTTTGGCAACACTACATTTTTTCTGTTGCACTCCTGACATGGTATAACATTTTTTTAAACATCAGCCATGACCACAACTTGATTAAACAAAAGTTACTACAGTCCAAATTTAAAGCTCAATACTTTGAATATTATCAGGAAAGTCTTTATTTTCAACATAAAGCATTATTATTTATTTCACAGATCTCCAAAAAGTATTGAAATTTCAAAATGTCACAAAAAGGTGTTGCACTCCTGACAATTTTAGCATCTTTTTTGGGCATAACTTTTTTGTTAATTGAGATATCAACGAGATATTTGGCAGGTAGTTAGACACTACCAAAAGACATATGCTGAGACATAGAAATCTATTTTCATTGCCTGTATTTTTAGTGTGGGTTGATAAATATGCGTTTGGTCATTTTTTTTTAATTCACCCAAATACTGCATGTAGTTGAGGGTACATGTAACATTGAAAATTTTCAGCCCTCGAAAACCATTGTCAACCTCAGCTGCGGCTCAGTTGACAATGGTTTTCTTGGGGTGAAAATTTTCAATGTTACCCTCAACTACATGCAATATTTGTCAAGTGTGAACTTGAAAAGGCTCATGAAACAGGAATCCTAGCTTGACCATAATGTTATTTGGCTGGTTTTATCAAACCAGTTAACAATGGCAATTTTCAAACAAAGGAAGATGACCCCTGACCTTTGACTGTGACCTCAGAATCAATAGGGGTCATATACTTTTGAAGGGAAACCATGTACCAAGTTTGATGACTGTCAGGCTAATGGAAATGGTTCTGAAAATACTGAGCACAATGCCTTCCTATCTATGAGTAGTTTGAACTTTTACCTATGACCTTGTGACCTTAATCAATAGGGGTCATCTCCTCCTTAGGATAAACCAGTGTACTAAGTTTGACATCTTTCAATGAAATATGGTTCAAAGCAAAGGGTTCTTAAGACATTGATTGGACAAGACTTGGTCTAATGGCTCACTGACCACCAGGTGAAAACCATTATGCTCCCTTTTTTCAGGGGGAGGGGAGATAAAAAGAACTCTAGTAATCAAATTGAATAACACTATTGATGGTAATAAACTACAGGTTATGCACAGCCCAACAGTGTTTGAATTTTTTACTCTGAATTTTAATCAAAAAACCCATTTTGCAGTATGTCATTTTAAGAGAATACAACATCCTATGATTAACTACTTTGATGTAATTACATGTAATTAGCAATAAATAATTTGTTCAGTTATGTAAATTGCACTTCACAAGAGTACACTAGTCTAGATAAACCAGAGGTATTTCAAAGAGGACCAGATTAGTTATTTTTCAACTTTTAAATTAATCATGTAAAGTTATAAATATAGGGTTTAGTTGTAGTGCTAGTTGTTTTTATCCCCCATGTTCATGAAAGCTTTTGAATGAGAGAAGATAGGGCATTTATATTTGATATGTGATTTACCTGTTTCAAGACCTCTCTGGAAATACCCCAGTACCCAGGTTTTTTGACCTCTGACCTTGACCTTAAAGTTTAACCTATAGTCTTTAGTTTACATTGGCAGTAAACTTTTGAATGAGAGAATATAGGGTTTTCATATTTTATGTGAACGTCACCTATGACAACACCTTTCAAAAAGGTATATCATTTTTAGTACACCTGAGTGGCTCAGGTGACCTATTGTTATCTGTTTTCGTCCATCGCCATCTGTCGTGTGTTAAGATTTGAAGATTTTTCAGCTTCTCTGGAACTGCTTAATCAATTTCAACCAATTTTGGCATAGAACATCTATGAGTGAAGGGGAACAAAAATTTTGAATTTCATGGTCCCTGGTGCCTGAGAGATGGGGCTAAAACCATCAGAATTAGAGCCATCTTTGAAAGTCTTCTTTACTCCTGGACATCAACCAGTCAAACTGTTGGCATGATTGTAAATAAATAAGCATTGCACCCTCTACCAAAATTGTGAAATTCATGGCTCCAGGATCAGGATTCTGGTGCTACAGTGGGGCTATATAGATCATGTGAAAATGCATTATTTCTTTCAAAATCTTCTCTGCTCCTGGATATTAACAATCAAACTAAGTACAAACTAAGTACATAGTTATGATGAGCAAGGGTGCCTCTTCCAAAATTGTTAATTTCCTGGACCTAGGGTCAAGGGTTCTGGTGTTAGGTTGGGGCTTTATTGGTTATATGATGAAAATGCATTAATTCTTTGAAAATCTTATTTTCTGCTCCTGGGTATGAAGTAAACAAACTAAGTGACTGTATGGTTATGATAAGCAAGGATGCCTCTTCCAAATTTGTGAAATTCATGGCCCCAGGATCAATATATCTGGTTATGGTGGTGGGGAGGGGCTCTATTCATTATATAGAGAAAATGCTTATTTAAAAAAATCTTTGCTGCTCCAGGTTAAAAACCAAAGAAACTAAGTGCATAGTTAAAATAAGCAAGGGTGCTTCTTCCAAAATTTTGACTTTCATGACCCTGGAGTCAAGGGTTTTGGTGTTGGGTGGATCTCTATTGATTATGTAGTTAAAATGCATTAATTCTTTTAAAATCTTCTCTGCTCCTTGGTATTTAGCAAATAAACGAAGTGCATAGTTATAATGAACAAGTGTGCATCTTCCAAAATTATGTAATCTGTGGCCCGAAGGCTGGGGTTCTGGTGTTTCAGGGGGTGGGTGTGTCTTTCAATTACACAGTGAAAATGATTCTTTGAGAATCTTCAATCTAAGTGAATAGTTGTGATGAGCAAGGGTAACTCTTCCAAATTTGTGAATTTTGTGACCCTGGGTTCTGGCAGGGGAGGGGAGGGGGGGGGGGGGGCTGTGTTGTTCACATTGTGTGTCCACACAGTCTATAGTGAAAATGCATTATTTCTTTGAAAATCTTCTCTGCTCCTGGGCATCTGGGAGAGAAACAGAGTGTAAGTAGTAATAAGCAAGGACATTTTTACCAGATTTTTGAAATTCTGGACCAATTGGTCAAGTATTCTGGTGCTGGCCAGGGTTTTTTGTATTCTACTGAGGAAAGTTATTCCCCTTTGCTATTCACCTATGATAATTAGTCACTGTATATAAAGTAATTGAAAGGTTTATAGGATAAGTGAATAATGCAATAATTTTTGCTGTATAAAAATACAAAGTACTTTTATAGTTCATAGTTTTAATGGTCAGGTACAATTGTACATGCAGACTTGTAAATAATAGAGAAATATTAATGAGACCAAAAAAACCCTTACTTTATTAAATGTTCTTCAAAGAACAAGAGAGGCCAAAGAGAATGAGAAGGGTATATCAATAGTGCTGAAGTATTTAAGAGGGCCGACTGGGGTTTTCATTGCGCAATACTTCGCGCAGCATAGTAAAATAAAGCATATTTACTCTTTTAAAGCAACTATTTTTACATGATTTATAAAAAATAACAAATTTAGGAAATCTCAGGTTATAAATTTCTTAATTATCTCCCTTTGAAATGAGATGTAGCTTTCCTCTGAATGTATTTGAAGCCCACTCAAACTTGTATCTAAACATTAATTATTTTTTAAAACCCATGGTATTTAATTCGTTGACACTGAAACAGCTTCTGGAAATTTTTTTTACAGAAACTTTCATTTTGCACAACTGAATTTTGCATGGTCAACCTCTGAATCGATGCATATAAAAAACACTAGAAATCTGACTAGATACTTTTATTTAAAAAAAAAAGGAGAAAATATCCAGTGCATGCATGAAATGTTTAGCAATTATTTCTGCACTAAATTTACCGGTAGTAAAGAGCAATAAGTTAGAGAGTTTAATTGTGCATTTTCAGTATTGTTAACATACATAATGCACCTGTACTGTAAGTTGTTAATTCCAGTTCAATTCATCGTTTCTCTCAAAATCGTATAAATAGTACATGGGTTACAAAAGACAATTATATGTACAAATGAAAATTGAAAAGCTAACCTTTAACTGAAATTAATTTCAAATGGACAATAATCACAATATTATATTAATTATCCAGGTCCAATCAAGGGTGTACGGGGATTTACCCCGGGTTGTATTCCATACACCCTAAGGCCGAAGGGTGTATGGAATACAACCCGGGGTAAATCCCCGTACACCCTTGATTGGACCTGGATAACAAATTTATTTCCTATGTACCCAAATAAAATTTTTGTAAACAAGTCCAATCAACTGTCTTTCAAGCTATTGATAAGATTTACTATGTCCTACGATGCATCATGACATCATGTTATTTGCTTTTTATCATAGAGAAACTATGCATTGTGACGTCACGTTTTTTACCCTCAGCTCAAGTCAGGTGTACGGAAATTTACACCCGACTTTGTAACCAATCAATCTACATAGGAAATAAAGTTTTTTGTACCTCAACAAATATGTTAGGACATGACGATGAAACTGATTGCACATGAAATTTTTCAGTAATTGATTACATAGGAAAAAAATCGCAAAGATGTTGGAATATGTTCATTTCCAAATGTAAGCCTGGCTCTTTCAGGATGAAACAAACATTACATTCATAGATACTAAGCATTCCACACTTTAAAGTTGATTCACATTGATTCATAAAAATGTGGGTTAATTAACTCACATTGTGTGTCCACACAGTATCCGACAGTAAGAACTGCAATAAGGCGCGATGTGAATATTGTTGGTCAACTTAACCTAGAGTAACCAAGTGGGTAGACCTACCAAACTTTTGACTATAGCTTTTTAAAACAAATTAATATTGTTTCAAAAATGCTTTCACAGATATAAAGATACGTGGAATTAAATTTCACAATTCACTGAGTAAATAGACTAGCTGTAAAATGGTCAGGTACATGACATTGTACTATATTTGAAATTCAACAAAATCATTAACGTGGCATTTAGACAATTTCTACTAATTAAGCTTTCACATAAAATTAACATCTTGATATACATAAAGCATACATACATGTAGATCAACTAGTAAATCAACATGGTCACCTAGTCAGCACTTATTTATTCATGAGTGACTGACTTTTTATAACCTTTTTTCTGGCTAAGCACTACAAAATTCATTATAGTCATAATTTCATAACATATATTTATAACAGTCACAGAGCATGTATAGACTAGTTGCCCCAAGAAATTTCAAGAATTTAATCAAATCATTATGGTAAATTTACTTTTTTTCCCTACCATGCATTAGAATGACATCAAAACACACATAAATCACATATCAAAGGCACACATATGATCCAATAAACAGTGTTTAATAATCAGAAATGACCATTCACAGTGCTTCAGAATGCTTCTAAATGACTTGATAGCTTGCACTACTGACCCTGACTGGACTTTATTTATTCCATGAGGAATTAGATTGTTACTTTTAATGCATGAAACATCCTAAATTATAAATACCTGAGTAAATGTGTAATAAATAGAGTTTGATAAGCTATTTCTTATGTGACTTAGCCAGCTGAACTACACACAATATCTTTTTTTTTCAAAGTGGAATGAATTTCTCTGAAAAAATAACAATATAATGCATGTCTGTACATAGTACTGTAGCTGATTATTACTTGTAATGCAAGTACAAAAATATCTGACTGATTTCAATGAGATGATTGGAATTCATTACAAGAAGAGAATTATAATGTAACTGATCATGTGAATTAAAATGCTCACATGTGCATTTTTTAAATCACTGATGAATTCAATTGAATCTATATGTAAATCATTTATTAAAAAAATTAGAAGAATATTCATGAAAATGGCAGCATTGTAGATGGGTATTAATTTTTTAACTTCATAACCAATTTTTTTTTTAACTTCATAAACAAAACTTCTAATTTCAAGAATCCAGAGGAGAAAACCATTATGCATTTAGACTGTGAGTAAAATTCGAGATCTTTTTGACTGAACCCCTCTCTCTGTCTGATGCTGAAATTGACGTTTACAACTAACTGAAGGATCTAAATTATTCCAAAGAAACCTATTTTTCTCAGAATTATGCATATTGAATAACTCATGATTTGAGAGTGGTGGATTCATTGACTTCATTTTTAGATAAGGAACATTCAATGACTGATTGATATGCTCATTTCCCATTCCATAACCATTGCAGGTTGCTCCCCTTTGTAAAATAGCACCCTCTGCATCCTTGGTTTCAATTTTAGTTGGATTGCTACATTGTGCCATGGGTCTGAAGTTAATAGGATGACCTGGTTCTTCTATTGTCCACTTGTAGCCATTGGAACGTTCCCCTGTGTCATCAGAATCCATGTTGTCTCCCTTGAAGGTCTGGCTGGCCACAACAATACCATAATCTGTAGCGCTGTGTTCTTCATCTGGTGGTTGGAACACGTTCCTGTCGTGGGTTGTCGAGTTCTGATTTGAGTTGGAAGGTGAGGGGTTCATGTTTCTTCTCTGTGTCCTCTTTGTTTCCTCATACAGAATCATCAGCTTCTCAACCTGACATAGATCAATTATAGGCTCAGTATTGCGTGATACCAAAATTACTAGGGTCAGTTTTACCATAGAAATATACATTCCATAACCTCTGTGAATTAGTAACAGCTTTTCCTAATGCTTGTTCTTTAATCTTTTGGATGTCAAGAGACACCAGGTAAGCCTCTTTTTTTTCTGACAGTTGATTAATTAAGGAATTCAAGTTGGTGAATAATTGTTTATTCACACAAGCAATGGGACCATTTTTCTTTCTTTCCTAATTTCTTCAAACTTCTGTGTGGATTACTTACAACCCAATTCTTGTCACACAATCTGACATGAACATGATATGTAAAACCATTATGACACCATGATGATAACTAATCAAATTTTCAATAGATTTTCTCTAACATGTTCGAGAAACAATAAAGGATCAGTATGGGAGTGATGAAACATATAATTGTAATGGGACAAAAGTTGTTATTAAATGTTATCCTTGAAAATCCTTCTCAACTATGACCAGAAACTTGCTGAAATCTAAACCCCTCTTAGCTGCATTGCTTTTTTTTCATTTTCCAAGTATCCTACATAAAATACTTGAAAATTCTTTCATATCAAGGATAAAAATAAATTAGACTTTTGGAAATTCAATTTCTCAATAAATTAAAAAAAAATGTTCATTAAATTTTTCATGAAATCAACTTATCTAGAGTTTTTCAACTTGAATTCCAATAAATTAATAAAAGATTTGGTCCTTGGATTTCCACCAAAATATTCAACTAACCTGTTCATCAATACATTCAAACTGCCATGGCCACTTTACATTGTACAAGAATTGTCTGTGGTCATAGCGATTATCATCAGGACTGTAGGTTTCTGCATGATATGATGGAGTCAGTGTTGTCATTTTGTGTCGATTGATGGAATAACAGCGGAAAAAATGCTTCACCTTTACTGCCACCTACAGAAATGATTATTTTATTATGGTAAGGAACTGGTCTTTCTACTTCTATTCTAATTAAAGTATATCTCAAATTCAAGTCAATATCTTTCATGCTCCAAACAAAGTAATATTTGATGCCTTGTCAAGTAGGAATTTATGATAGTGACTGAAATGCTGTTTGTGGGAAATTTTTGTCCCGGTTTCATTTTTGCCTTGGTTGCAAGTGGGCAAATTTAAAAGGGAGTAAATTCAAAGAAGACAGCATTTCCTATATAACGCAACTGTCTCCCAGGGTGAATTTAAAAAAAAAATGCAGAATAGTTTGAAGGTGTGATAGGGCTAAAAATATCCTGGGCCAAAATAATCCTGTATACAGCATGTAATAATATGATTCAACCAATATCTAGATTTACACCCACCTCCTCTGGAGAACACCTATCTTTCCACACTTGAACCAGTTTACAGAACATACTGTATGGGCCGCAGCAGTTTTGTTTACGTAGACGACCATAGAGGGAGAGTTCCTCATATGTCATACCCATGTCCTCCTGTCAAACAAACTAAATTTACTGAGGGAATGTTTTGTATTTTATATAATCTAAGTATAATTTAAAGGATGGGTTTCTTGATTGATAATAAAAACATCAAGCATACAGGTCAACTAAGACAGATTTTTCCCAAAATAAAAAGCCATTCCTTTTTCTATCTTGCTTGGCTAGAAAAATGTCTAAAGGATTGTCTTATTTTGCACTGATAAATGATTTATCTTCTTGGTCAATAATTTGTCTTTAAATCAAATGTTTACTTGGTACTGGAGTCATTTTACCTCATCTGTCTGGGCTAACTGACCCTCTCGCAAGGGCTCTAACTCCGCTGTTGGAGGGGCATGGTATATCCTACAAAACAGTCACTTATCATCATTATGCATGTCTGTGTATCAAAGACAAGGCAAAAATCTGAAATATATGCTTTCCCATATCTTCAGTGAAGTCCATTTTAAATAGTATAATACATCAAGATTTTTTTTTCCATTTGTTTCATTAATTACAGAAGAATACTAAAACATATATTTCTGCTTTACTTGTTTTTTTTTTTAATGTAAACTCTTACTTATTAAGGGCAGTAAAACCAAAGTGTTGTGAACAGTAGAGAATGAAGCGACGGAGGTCTGTTTTACTAATTCCTCCGATTGGGTTGATGTCAGCGCTGGAGCAGTCATACTTTGTCATGTAGCCCCGCAGACTAAAAATACAATAGTATACACTCAAACAATTCAAGCTATTTTAAGAATGGACTATTTTCTCCAAGGCCTTTTTAACATTTAGATACTTGTTTACATAGAAATGTTTTATTGGTTTCATGCCACTTTTACAAATCAGCAGTCTATCTTTAGTTATTTTAAAAATATGCATTATGTAACAAGAGGCCCATGGGCCTTATAGGTCACCTGAGTATCATGCAAACTTTCCAACAATTGAATTTGGTTCATGTTTTAAACCAGAGGCCATGAAATTCACTTCAGATTTTTAAAGAGGCACCATTGCTCACCATAACTATACACTTAACATGCTTACTTTGATTACTTAATACCCAGAGGTAGGTCAGAGAAACAAAGAAAAATTGCATTTCCACTATATAACTAGATGCTGTCGTAAGACGTACAGTAATACCCACACATAAGTGTTTGCCTCTAAACTCTTCCCTCTTCCTGGGTAATGAATGAGTGATACGTATCGTAATACGGATATTAAAATACCGGTATTAAGGTACATAATTATTAATTCCAGATGAGCGCAGACTAGAACAAACTCAATATTTTTACCATAGATGTATCTATACAAGAATAATTACTGACAGAAAAATTTTACATGTTCCAAGCTGCACTCTATGTTTCCCATAAGAAATAAAGTGCCCCACCACAGCATGATACGCCCGTCAAATACTGTTCAATTTATATCATAAACAGTTTAGAGTGCAAGAAAATCAAGTCAACCTTGATACAAGGATTTCCAAGATTTTTCCATTCCTTGTAATATTTTTTATACATGTACATCTCTTGTGGTGTAGGCATGAATTACAACAAATACTACATTATAGATCCTCAACTGGTTGTGTTAGAGCTTGACTAATGCCCATCTGCACCCCCCCCCCCCCCCCCCCATCTTTCATATTTGTGAGACATGATGATCTGAAATTTGTTAGTTGATATTTTCAAAAAATTAAATAAAAATATCATATTATACAGTATCAATTTAGTCATAACAGCTTAATCTATACCAAATTAATTTTAAAAATAAAAGACTGGCCATCAAATGACATAGGCCAATGCTATAAACTGACCAGCAGTTCTCTGTCCAATTCCCAAAGGATACAGATAAGAGCTGCTTGATCAGAGATGCTCTAACAGAAATGATTGAGACAGCTAGTCTTCCTACATTGAACTCATTAATTATTATCTTTAACTGGATGCATGTCTACTCATTACTCCCAAGGGATGAATGGATCTACGCTATCTGCTTTGTAGTGCAATTAAAATGCATATTTATGTCATTATGAAATTAAATTTGAAAACAGATTCTTTTTCAATTTGTTACAAAGACGTATAAAAAGAAAAAAAAACTTGTGTAATCTTGATGCAACGTTTTTAATAAGGTTTCTGCTTGACTCTTAGATTTGTAGGGACTATCTACCATAATTAAAAATTTTTTTTTTAAAGAATACTTGATGTTTTTTTTTTATAGATTCAATGTCAGACTGGTTTTAAGCTGCAATTCATATGGACAACGGGCATGCTGATTCCAATATCGTCCCCCCAGTATAATTCATTTTAATTAATTAGTTTATTATACAATATCAAATCACTTTTAATTACTTTTCACCAAATTCATTTTAAAAGTTATGCTAGCCCAAAAAAACTATTTAATCCAACACATGCAGCCATTTCCTCTGCCCGATTCCCAAGAGATGTAGTTAACACCTGCTTGATCAGAGATGCTCTACCAGTTAGCTCCTCACACTAAACTCATTAATTTCTCTCTAATTTGACATGCAATTTTCTGTTATCAAATTTCTCCTTGACCAGTGCTTGATAATTACACCCATGGGAGAGGTGGAATTTCTCTTATAACATTACATTTGTTTAGATTGCTGTAAAGTATATAATGAAAAAAATGAGTATTTTCTTGATTTAACATTTTTTTAATAAGGATACTGCAACACTTTTACATTTTTGGGGATTGTGTAATTTAATAGCAAAAAGAGTTTGTTTTTTTTAAATTTCACGTAAATTAAAGGTCACAGTGACCTTGAAATAGGTCGCGACACACCTTCTACTTAAGATGTATAAACTGGCCAAGTTTGATGATTCTAAGTCTAATAGTTTTCTAGTTATGAGCCGGACAGGATTTTTCCATATTTGGCCATAGCATCTTAATTAAAAGTCAGAGAGACCTGGTTTTAATGTGCGACAAACCTTCTACCCAAGATGTATCAGCTGAAAAAGTTTGATAATTCTAGGCCTAATAGTAATAAAGTTATGAGCCGGACACGAAAAAGCTAACAGACGGATGGATGGACAGACATGTACGCTATAACATAATACGTCCCGTCTTAAGACAGGCGTATAAAAATGTCAAGAAAAAGCCCATTTTTATCTTATTTTGGTTGGATTGCAAAAATAGCATCATTTCTGACATCATTTTTAGCCTGTGAGTGCATGTAAATGTAAAAAATGTATTGGAAATATTTCCAATGTAATCTCTTCTACAAATTAAATAAAAATCAATTATACACAAGAGGCCCAAGGGCCTTAACGGTCACCTGAGTACAATACAACAATTTAGAGAATCCATAAACTGATAAATGAAGCTTTGTTGCCCAAAAGCAAGAAATGAAGTATGATTAGCATCAACAAAATAATTGGTCTAGTATCTATCTGTCCCCCATTTATCACTACCGGTATTACCATGCAGACTACTTAACAAAATGTCTATGTTTTAACCCCATATTATAACTTCTCACATTGGCCTCTCTTGACCTTTGAAGAACATTTTAAAATGATAAGTCATTTTTGTCTCAATTTTATTCATTTATTATTTCCAAGTCTACCTGATCATTAAAACTGTGAAAGTAATTTTTGTATTATACAATAAATATTCTTGCATAATTCTCATATTCTATTAACCTTTCAAATACATTGTTTACAGTGATTAATTATCAAAGGTGAATGGCAAAGGGGAATAACTTTGCTCAGCAGAATACAAGTTACTAGAGCACTGGCCAGGACCAGGACACTTGACTAAATGGTCCAGGTGTTCAAAATTCTGGTAAAAATACCTTTGCATATTAAAACTTCTACTCTGTTTGCCCAGAAGCATAGAAGATTTTCAAAGAAATGCATTTTCACTATATTATTAAATAAATAAAGCTCCATCCTTACACCAGAACATCTGACCCAGGGGCCATGAACTCACAATTCTGGAAGAAGCACCCTTGCTTATCATAACTATACACTTGTTTCTTTGCTTTATAACCAGTAGTAGAAAAAATATTTTGAAAGAAATTATGCATTTTCAATATATAATCAAAAGAGTCCCCCCCCCCCCCCTCTTCACCTAACCCCTTACCCAGGGGCCATGAATTTCACAATTTGGAAGAGGCATTCTTCCTATTCATAACCATGCACTTCCTTTGTTTGAATAATACCAAGGAGCAGAGAAGAAGATTTTGAAAGAATTTATGCATTTTCCCTATATAATCAATAGAGCCCCACTCTAACACCAGAACCCTTGACCCAGGGGCCATGAAATTCATAATTTGGGAAGAGGCATCCATGCTCATCATGACTCATCGTCACTATGTACTTAGCTTATTCATTATCCAGGAGCATAGAAGAAGATTTTCAAAGAATTAATGCAATTTTACTATATAATTAATAGAGCCCCACCCTAACACCAGAAACCCTGACCAAGGAGCCAAAAAATTCAAAATTTCTGAAAAGGCAGCCATGCTCATCATAACTTTGTTCTTAGTTAGTTTATTTAATATCCAGGAGCAGAGAAGAAGATTTTCAAAGAATTAATGCATTTTTACTATATAGTCAATAGAGCCCCACCCTAACACCAGAACCCCAGACCCTGGGGCCATGAAATTCACAATTTTGGAAGAGGCACTCTTCCTCATCATAACTATCTACTTAGTTACTTTATTTAATACCCAGGAGCAGAGAAGATTTTCAAAGAACTAATGCATTTTCACTATATTATCAATAGAGCACCGCCCTAACACCAGAACCCCTGACTCTGGGGTCATGAATTTCACAATTTTAGAAGAGGCACTCTTGCTCATCATAACTATGTACTTAGTTACTTTATTTAATACCCAGGAGCAGAGACGAAGATTTTCAAAGAATTAATGCATTTTACTATATAATCAAGTGAACCCTGCCCTAACACCAGAACCCCAGACCCAGGGGCCATAAAATTCATAATTTTGGAAGAGGCACTCTTGCTCATCATAACTATGTACTTAGTTACTTTATTTAATACCCAGGAGCAGAGAAGAAGATTTTCATCAAAGAATTAATGCATTTTACTATATAATCAAGTGAGCCATGCCCTAACACCAGAACCCCAGACCCAGGGGCCATAAAATTCATAATTTTGGAAGAGGCACTCTTATTCATCATAACTTTGTTCTAAGTTAGTTTATTTAATATCCAGGAGCAGAGAAGAAGATTTTCAAAGAATTAATGCATTTTTACTACAATATAGTCAATAGAGCCCCACCCTAACACCAGAACCCCAGACCCTGGGGCCTTGAAATTCACAATTTCGGAAGAGGCACTCTTCCTCATCATAACTATGTACTTAACGTTAGTTACTTTATTTAATATCAAGGAGCAGAGAAGAAGATTTTCAAAGAATTAATGCATTTTTACTATATAGTCAATAGAGCCCCGCCCTAACACCTGGGGCCCGTTTTACAAAAGAACTTACGACTAAGATCAATATTTAATTCTTCATATAACTTTTTAATTAACATTATATTGAAAATGGTATTAATCTTTTTAAAAGGATGTAGTAAGATATGTTTACAATAGCAATTTTAAACAGAATCATTAATTTTGCAAAATTTTACAATCAACTTAAGTTTTTGGTCTTAGTCATAAGTTCTTTTGTAAAACGGGCCCCAGAACCCCAGACCCTGCAGAGAAGATTTTCAAAGAATTAATGCATTTTCACTATTTATATAATCAATAGAGCCCCGCCCTAACACCAGAACCCCAGACCCTGGGGCCATGAATTTCACAATTTTGGAAGAGGCACTCTTGCTCTTCATAACTATGTACTTAGTTACTTTATTTAATACCCAAAAGCAGAGAAGAAGATTTTCAAAGAAATAATGCCCTTTCACTATATGATCTATATAGCCCCCCATCCTGGTGCCAGAACCCCTGACCCTGGGGCCATGAATTTCACAATTTTGGTAGAGGGCTCAATGCTTATTACAATGATGCCAACAGTTTGACTGCTTGATGTCCAGGAGTAAAGAAGAAGATTTTTAAAGATTGCATTATTTTTGGTGGTTTTAGCCCCACCCCTCAGGCCCCAGGGGGGGCAGGGACCATGAAATTCATAATTTTTGTTCCCCTTCACCCATAGATGCTATATGCCAAATTTGGTTGAAATTGGTTAAGCCGTTTCAGAGAAGAAGCTAAAAATGTTCAAATGTTAACACAAGACGCATGCCGACGGACGAGAACGGATAGCAATAGGTCACCTGAGTGACTCAGGTGACCTAAAAACCCAACAGTCAAAGAATTTCTTGAATAACTCCCTAAAAATCTCAAAATCTTATTAAAGAGCTCTTTTTTCTAAACAAGACCAACTTTCAATAAGTGAAAGTAATTGTATTGCCACTCTATACATAGCTACAGTAATGACAAAGTGCTGTAGGCCCTTACCCCTCGTCCACATTCGCTGACCCTAGGACAAGGAGTCCCCCAGATCTTCCCCTGGCCCACAGACAGAGCTGGGCAAAGAGGTATGATAACACCATCCTAAGCCTAGCCTGTTAATAAAATTATACCTTAATTAATCTTAGTTTATGACACCTGAAAAAACATCAATGACAATTTAAAATATGATTACGGTCAAGGCTTTGCTTTCATTTTTTTGCTATTTTAGATTGACAAATTTCAATAAACTGTATTACCTGGACATTCTGTAATGCCAGGTTCTCTCTTAGGCTACCTCCATTGGCTTTGAACTTTGGCAACAATTTCAGAGCTGCTGTAAACACACCTAGGACAGCTGCCACAGCAACATCAATACTGATAGACAGGTGGAAACTGTAGAAGAAATGTGACTACAAGTATTAACAATACATTAACAACTATGTATTTTTAAAATATGAAATGACTATGATATGAAATAAAATACGAAATGACTAAATAATTATAAAATTCAAACTTTATACTATTGGTTTATATACTAGTTTATATACTAGTATATGTACATCCCGTTGTCTGTCTATAAATCTGTCTGACTGTTCACAGCAATTTTTCAAACAAAAACATAATAGCCAATGATCATGAATTCATACACTTCAGAATGTAGATGAAATTTAGCTAATTCCCTACATACAAATTTAGCAGCTACAATAAATATAAATACATGTAAATTGGCAGAGAAGGTTTATTCTCACGTAATTACATGAGAAATACTATTTGCTCTCAAAAATTTCATTCTTCTCAATTTTATCCAATAACTATCTTACAAGGATCAAATATCCCCAAAATTTGGTGATTTAAACAGTATGTACATGTACAAAGGATGTTCAAATGATATAACTATTGGCCTTCCATGTCAAATACTCGTTTCATAAACAAATATGTATATTCACAGTATATTGCCCAGAGCTTAGTCCTCTTCAAATTCCCTAGTGGCCATAAATCTCAACATAAAACATACCTTCCAATCTGACCAGCTAACTCTGCAGCTCTTGACCTAGTTTCTTCAGAACTATTTTCTGTGCCCATGTAGCAAGTAGTGAAAAGTTTGCCTGCTAGTTCACTGGGGTCAGATGGAGTGTAGGCCCCATCTCCTACTATTCTCCTCACATCTGCCAGAACATTTTCATCTGCAAGGTAGATTTATACCCATCAAATCTAAAGATGTACATGTACATTTCAGTAAGGGAGATAACTTTTGCAATCTCAATTTTATGTTAAACACATCAAGTTTAGAGCTCAAGATAAGTGTCAAAAGAAAAAGAACAGGTGGTCTCTCTCATTCTTTCACAAGCTGACACCCATTCAGTTACAGCTGTATTGTAAACTGACAGAAGGCAAATAATGTGATATATCTAGGGACATGAAATATGTGTATTCAAGCTCATGCATATCAAGATTAAAGTGAATGCATTCTTCTATTACATGAAGCCAAAACACTTTTAGTCATAAAAAGTATTGGCACCTGCATCAATTAAGTCATGTGTTTGTGAATCATGAAAAACTCTGAAGGTGTATTGTGGAAAACTTTTACAGTTACTGAAAGAATAATGTTCCCAATCAAATTCACAATACGGTTTTTTATTTGCCACTTTGCTCATAATGAAATTACATCCTATGATTTTTCATTAAGATATGCATAGTATACATGTACATGTATATCAGACTGAAATGAAACACAATACTTATGATGATGGCAAATTGCAAACAAAATTACCTCCTCTTTGCACAGATTCTACCACAAGATGGCACATTGAAGCCACTATACAGGCAGTGCTGGAGCTGTCAATTCCTCCACTTAGTGGAAGGAAATATCCACCTTGTCCACTTCTCCGCAAGTAATCCCACAGCCAGCAGGCTGGACCCAGGCTAACATACAAAGAAATTAATGCCAATCTCAAAACAGTTTCTGTAAAATGTGCACATATACATGTATTTTATAATGCATTTTTATCATCATCTTTCCATGCTTATGTAGATATTGCAGTTTATAAAGTTTTAACTCATTGAATTTGTACTAATCTTGTCCAGTTCATCATCAAAGTTAAGATAAAAGTTACCACTATTAACAATTTTTATTATCTGCTCTGATGATGAAATTCATGTATGCTTGATGACTTTGGATGGTGTGTGTGTACCTGATCTCCTCCTCAGGAGTGAGGTAATTCCACTCAATAGGGTCAGTGGTAGGCTGGAAAAAGTCTGGATGAGACAGGGCAAAATCACAGTGAACTCTAGGAAATGACTGGACATTGGATGCCTGATAAATCAAAATATATACATGTATAAAGCTGATTTGTAGTAGTGTCAGCATAGAATCTACCATGTTAAAATCAACAATTCTAATTGTTAAAATACATACCATTTCGGATCTACTGCGAATAGCATTCCTGTACATTCTTACATCCTCTAGATCAATAGTAGCAGTATTAACTACCTGGAATTATAACAGAAGTTTAATTCAGATGATACTGATATAAAAATACACACATGTACCACAAATGCAACTAAATTATATGAGAACATTTAAACTGATGACAATTTTTGATGCTCCCTCTGTGACTTTTTCATACCACTTTAACCAAACTGTGTCTTTCCACATCCTAGATACAGAACTGTGTAAAACCAAACTGTTTTCTACCTCTTCCTAAATGGAACTATGTCTTAAAACTTCCTGGACATCAAACTGTGTCTTACCACTTCCTGGACATCAAACTGTCTCTTACCACTTCTTGGCTACCAAAAGTGTATTACCACTTCCTGGATATTAAACTGTGTCTTACCATTTTTTGGAACCAAACTGTCTTAACACTTCTTGGCTACTAAACTGTGTCTTACCACTTCCTGGTTAGGAAACTTGTCTTACCACTTCCTAAATACCAAACTGTGTCTTAACACTTCCTGGATATCAAATTACTTCTTACCATTCATGGACATCACACTGTGTCTTTCCCATTTCTGGATACCAAACTGTGTCTTACCACTTCCTGGACTATGTCTTACTACTTCTTGGAAACCATGCTGTATCTTTCCACCTTCTGGATACCAAATTATATTTCACCACTTTCTGGATATCAAACAATTCTTCCATTTCCTGGATACCAAACTGGGTCTTACCACTTCTTGGATATTACACTAAGTCTTACCACTTCTTGGAAACCACACTGCATCTTCCCACTTTCTGGATACCAAACTATATCTTACCATTTCCTGAATATCCAACAATATCTTACCACTTCCTGGATATCAAACTATAGCTTACCACTTCCTGGATACCAAACTGTGGCCCCTGTGAGAGGATCCTTCCATTGATTGCAATCATAGAGCAGCCATCATAATAATTCCTCTCTCCATCACAACCCATCTGATTGGCAAATATGTAAATCCCACCACACTAAAAAACATTAAAGTATATCACCAGATTTAAAGGCAATGATCTTTCCTTCTACAAATTTTGGCCATAAGGATTGTGCATTTTTTTTTTTCATCGGACAGCAGAAGAGTGCTGTGTTACTTAATTTTTTATGCGAAAGTTAAAAAATTATCTGAATTTCAGTGGAGCTCTTTTCTTGTATCCATTGTATATGGCACAGACCAGAATTTTTTTTAAACTTGCATTTCAGATACTTTAACAGAAAAAAAAGTGCTTGCAAATTGCAGTGATCATGTAAATATTACAACATGACTTTTAAAATTACCTAGGATTCTTTTTTTATAATCATTTCAGTCCTCTGAATGTTATAAAACAGTTTGTCAATTTCTTATAGCAAAGAATAACAAGAGGCCCAAGGGCCTTGAATTGCTCTTCTGATAAATTGTACAACCTATCACTTCTATTTGATGCATCTAAGTATCCTGTATATTAAGATAAAGCCTTGAAATTCCAAAAGTAGGTCGACATGACCTACATTTTGGTTAAAACACTCTGAGAACCCAAGATGAATCAACTAACAAAGTGTGATGATTCGAAGCCCCTTATTATCTTAAATATTCAGATATAGCCATGAGATTATGAGATTCCAAACTTTTTGGAAAACACACTCCTAGACCCAAATATGCCTCAACTGACAAAATTTATGGATTTTAAGACTCTTATTATTTGAAATATTTAGATGTTGCCTTGCAATTCCAAAAGTAGGTCACTGTAACCTACTTTTTAGTTGACACATTCTGAGGACCCAAGATGCATCAACTGACAAAGATTGATGATTCTTAGCCAATTAGTACCTGGGATATTTAATTAAAGCCATAAAATTTCAAAAGTAGGTCACAGTGACCTATTTTTTTGTTGTCATACTCCGAGAACCCAAGATGCATCAACTGACAAAGATTGATGATTCTAAGCCAATTAGTACCTGGGATATTTAATTAAAGCCATATAAATTGAAAAGTAGGTCACAATGACCTACATTTTAGTTGACCTACTCTGGGGACCCAAGATACATCAACTGACAAAGTTTGATGATTCTAAGCCAAATAGTACCCAAAATATTTATATTTAGCCATAAAATTTCAAAAGTAGGTCAGGGTGACCTACTTTTCAGTTGACGTTTTTTGAGGACCCAAGATGCATCAACTTACAAAGTTTTATGATCATAGGCCTTAAACTGTCAGAAATATGCCTCAACATGCTTTGAAATCAAATGCCTGCAAAGTTCAAAAAGTAGGTCACTGTGACCTACTTATTTTTTAAATATGTTTTATGGCCCCAAGATGCATCATCTTACAAGATTTAATGATTTTTAACTGCTCAGTATTTGAATTACATGTAATGACCTTAAATGTTTTGAAAAAGATTAGCCAAAAAATTCAATAAGTAGGTCAAGGTGACCTACTTTTTATTTGACATACTCTGAGGACCCAAGATGCAACAACTGACAAAGTTTGATGATCATAGGCATAAATTGTTCAATATATGCTTCTTAATCAATTTGAAAAAGAATGGCTGCAAAATTTTAAAAGTAGGTCACCATGACCTACTTTTGAGTCAACATGATATGACATCCTAAGATACATCAACTGACAAGATTTGATGGTCATAGTCCTTCTAGTAAGCAAAATATCAATGTTTTAATAAAATGTAATTTTTGGTCAACTTTGAAGTGACCTTGAGACCACGCCCTCTGCCCCAGGGTAATGCCTTGAACAATTTTTAATCTTCAACATATCCTCATCCTTTTGTGTAAGTTTGGTGATAATCTGCTCAGTGATAATTGGTGATAATCTTCTTGAGAAGAAGATTTTTTAAGCAACCTGTACTTTTGGTTTTATTTACCTAATTATCTACCCTTGTTTAAGAGTCACAACCCTGGTTTTTGTATAAATGGGAGCCCTTGGGCCAAGGATACCCTGTGACTATTTGACAACAATTGGCCAAAGGGTTCTTGAGTTATGGCCCATATTCTAAAAAGTTTATGCACACTGCACACCACACAAATGGCCATAGCATTAGCTCTTTGAGCCTTTGGCTCAGAAGATTAGATTTTTATGCCCCATATTGAAGATTCGGGGGTATATAGTTTTTGCCCTGTCCATCCTTCTGTCTGTTTGTCTGCAAAAACTTTAACATTGCCCTTACTTTTGACTGGTTGGAGGTATGGCTTTCATATTTCACATGTGTATTCCTTGCGACAAGATCTTTTATTGGGTACCCTCATATTTGACCTTTTGACCTTGGAGTTTAACCCCGTTTTGCAAAATTTTACTGAATTTTAACCTTGGCCATAACTTTTGAACAATTGGTGCTAGGGCTTTCATACTTCACATATATAATCCTTGTGACAAGACCTTTTTTTGGATACCAACAACTTTGATCCTTTGACCTTAACCTTGGAGTTTGACCTACTTTTGAAAAACTTTAACCTTGGCCATAACTTTTGAACGGTTGGTGCTAGGGCTTTCATACTTCACATATGTAGTCCTTGTGACAAGACCTTCCTTTGGATACCAACAACTTTGACCCTTTGACCTTGACCTTGATGTTTGACTTACTTTTGAAAAACTTTAACCTTTTCCATATCTTTTCATATTTCACAGGTATATTCCTCGAGACAAGACCTTACTTTGGGTACCAACATATTTGATTTGCATTTGAGAAAGCTTTGCTATAAGTTTGCTATAAGTTGCCATATAGTGGCATCAGTGTTTCACAAACACATCTTGTTTTTTATACATGATAGACCTTGGATGCATTTTGCAGAAACTGAGGTCCATTTTTGATGTTTGTGTCAATCTTTTTTTTTTAATCTTTAAGGGGTGTGTACTTCACATAAGTACATGTAAATAAACTCTCTAGCAATTATCTATTATAATTCATATTCAAGCAAAGTACCTTTTTATATTCCATTAATGGGTAATTCTGATCAAAATTTACACAGTATTTGCACAGTATTTTTTTTTATACAGAGACATCAATCATCAGATACTAAGAATATCCTCTACTATTAACATCTACTCATAAAAATCTAATTATTCATGCATACTGACCTTCATGGTGGCTGACTTGATCAAGTCAACTCTGACATAACCTTTCCTGAGTTCATGGTGACTTCCGCTGCCATTGGCTATTATTTCTACACCATCTAAACTAAGGTCAATGTGGTGCCTAAAATAAGAGATGCCCTGACAAGATTAGAACTAAATAACAAAATCCTGAATTTTTTATTAGCACTCATTTTCAATTTGCAATCATGGCTTGGTCAGGCTTATATAGGCCTGAATAAGCTGACTAATGGTTGAATTGTATTTGCTTGTATACTTAAACCAAATGCAAAAACCCAGAAGTCCTGAGGAAAACCCTACAATCTTAATGCAAAACAAAAAAAAACCTAAATAAATATTTGTTCTTCCTTCCTTTACATCACTCTTTTTAACTTGTATCCTAGAGAACATGCTGTATTATCTGTGGTTTAACATTATTTACATAACAATCTCAGTTCTGCTTAAAGGCAAGAAAAATGTGGGAATAGAGATAAATTTGGGGAAAATGACCACATTTTCTAGAGGAAATTGCCTGTATTTGGCTGTGATTTTGGGCCATGTAAAAAAAAACCCACTGGAACCATACCCTAAATCTCTGTGATATACCTACCCATCTGGAGACCAAAGTTCTTCACAAATTTCACTCCCCAGACAAGTGTCAACAGTTGATATAACAGCATCTCCTATAGGCACAGTTTTCTGAAGGAAAGAAATATTCTCTGAATCTTATTTAAATGCCTGAATATAGACCTCATGTTTTTCGCAAGAAAATATCATATCATAAAAATCCAAATAAACACTTATGTCAAATCCTAGTTTGGTGATCCAAGCTTCTAATCAAAATTAAAGAACTTATTTGATTTGGATTAAACGTAACTCCAGATTTTTTTAAATTTTGTCACCTGTCCAGTAATTTCCTGGATCATTCGTGGTAGGAAGTATTCCTCGGTACACTTGTGTCGTTTCCAGGATGTGAACCACCGAGTTTCTCTATAGTTTCCATCATTACACAGCGTCATCTTTGGGCGGATCAGCAAAATTTTTCTGCAATATAAACTTCTTGTATAAAATTCTTTATTTCCATTCAGAACTGATAGCGTGTTTTACAAAAGATATATACTTAAAATATTCTACAGTTGTATTTTCATACAGACCTGTTGACAAAGATCACCCTGCAGTTGTATGCGACATTCTTGTGCATAACAGGCCTTGAAAATAAATTCACAATTAAGAGACATAAATAGTACATAAGTACATGTAAATGTACTACACAACCACAAAAAAGCTCTAATAATACTATAAAGACAAATTTGCAGTAAATAACTATTCTAATATGAAAATGAATTATATCATACTATTAAACTAGAAAGTATTGCAGATCAGAATTTTGGATTATGTTTACTTAATACCTGACACATACACATAATAAGCAGTATTGCATTTCAAAAACAATGTTCTTTAGTGTAATTGGCTTCAAGATCTAGGTTTTTAAGATGTTTTATCAGATTAGATACTGTCAAACCTTGTTATCTTGAAGCCAATGGGACTGAGAAAAAACTTCCAACATGTTCAAAATATCCGAAGATTTGAGACATTGAGGTTAATACAGTACATAAAGAAAAAGTGGTTGGGACCTTTAACTCATTTCATCATGGTATTCAAAATATAAAAGTTCGAGATAATGAAGTTCAACTGTATATTATACTTTATTTGCTGTAATATGTCAGATTTGAAATTGTCTTTAAGAGCAAGAAAAAATGATCATTTTTCATATAAATATTGGTTAATGGCTTGTTGAAAATCAATGAAAACTTAAGCTCAACTTACATTCCAATGTCGCACATAATGTCCATATTGTCCCGGTTTGATATCAGTTCTGCTAATACTTGCCAAGAATGAAGAAACGTGTCACTTTCTAGGAAATGGTCCCCACATCCATAGCCTCTGTAGACGCACAGAAAATTACATGTATGATGTAGAAACATAATCAAATATCGATAGAACAAGCAAATTCAAAGAATTGTGGTCCCCAGCTTTCGGTGTCTTAGTGGATGGGATGCCAGTATTTATGGCATATTGTAACTGTCTTGTTTGTGTGTCCCGTCTTGTCTGTGTATTATATAAAAAAGACATAAATTATTGAATTAATAACAGTTATGGCAAAGATTATAGCTTCTCAAAACTACATCAAACTTCAAGATCAAGGTCATGAGGTCAATTATAAGAAAATCTGAAAGGTCTTGTCACAAGTAATGCACATGTGAAAAAAAAATATCAAAAACCAGAGTATACAATCAGAAAGGTCTTGAAACAGGTAATGGACATGTCAAATATGAAAACCCTATCTCTTCTCAATCAAAAGTTATAAGCAAAGATAAAATTTCTGAAAAGTAGGTCAGACTTCAAGGTCAAGGTCACAGGGTCAAAAATCATAATATATTTGGAAAGGTCTTGTTACAGGCAATACACAATATATAATAATATGAGAGCCCTATCTTATCTCATTCAAAAGTTATGACCACTTTAGAGTAATGTTAAAAATTTTTTAAAAGTAGGTCAAACTTCAAGGTCACAAGGTCAAAAATTATAGTACATTTGGAAAGGTCTTGTCACAGGTAATGAACATGTGAAATGTGAAAGCCCTATCTCTTCTCATTCAAAAGTTATGACCAAGGTTAAAGTTTTTGTGACAGACTGACAGATGAACAGACTGGCAGATAGACGAATGAGATTTAAAGTTCCTTCACTTTCGTGAAAACGGGGGACAAAAATGACCGAATCTCTAATCAGAAATAAAAGAAAGGAGTAAAAATGGAAAATTAAATATTTTCATTACATATTACTAATTTTTCCTCAACTTTCAATGAGGACCTATCTTTTTTCTTTTTAATTATCATTATTGTTTGCATGTAAAGAATGAAATATAATCACAATGATGTTATACCCGGTACATGTGTTGGAAATCATTGAACCAAAACACAATGTAAACAGCTGTGCTGAATAAAAAATGCATGAATGATTATCTTTGTGCATTAGGAAGAAATAAAATCGTACGTGACTTCCAATTCTGGGCCAAGACGATAAGTTGCACCTCTTTGCTTCGCAATCTTGATACCTGAAAAAAATAAATGTGTACTTGCAAAAATTCACAGTCACTCCTCAGTCAATTTATATACATTTATTCAGATTACAGTGGCTATATAGCCTGATATGGATTCAGAGCATGCTGAGAAAAAAAATCACCTACATTTTCTTGAAGAACATCTAGTAGGTACAAACAATGAACATGATTATGATAATATAAGCTCCTAGCCATCTAAAAAAATTGTAAAATTTAAGTGTAACCCTCGTCCAGCCCCAGGGTGGGATTTTGATGGTCATATATTTAAAATTCATTATACCTCTTCAAATCTTCTTAATCCCTGAACATTTAGCAAGGAAACTGAATGTATATTCAGCATTTTTATTGTGCCACAGTCAAATTACCACCCTAAGTAAAACATTCTGGTCAAAGAGCCCCCTATAACTGGTTAAAGTGCTCCCAGCAGAATTTGTTACAAATTTGTCTTTATGAAACTATCACCAAACATTGGTCAAAGTGCCCAAAGTTTTGGTCAAAGTTCCCCCTAATTTTGGTCAAAGTGTTCCTTGATATATTTTAGGAATGACTCTAATTCTTGGCCAAATTATTCGCGTATAACCTGGTTTCGGTCAGTTTATGCTTTATAATCCATGAAGCCGATTATAAAACAGCGAACTGACCTAAACCAGGTTATACGCGAATAATTTGGCCAAGAATTAGAGTCATTCCTTATAATTTATTTTCAAATCATTAAATTACTATGGGTGTAAAATTTCTTTGCTTTTTATTAGTTCAAATTTGCCGCTCAATAATACAACCGTAGTAACAGAAGTAATGGAAGTGATGGGAAGCGAGGGGAGGTAAAAACTGATACATAAGGCCTAGCAGCCTTGTTGTTTGTTTACATGTGGTAAGATCGAATTATTGTTTGAAGTTAAAGGTACATTTATTAAATCTGGAATTTTCCATGAATCCCAAGGACTTGAAATGAGAGGACTGTATGGATACAGATGATTCAGCTGGTTGTCGGGGGGGGGGGGGGGGGGGGGGGTGTCCCCATATCAAACCAGGTTATACAGAAATAATTTGTGTTCCTTTTTGGATATTAACCAATCAGAGGCTAGAATACAAACAAAATTAAATTATTTTAATAGGATTTTGTTGTTTCAAAACCATCCCTAAGTATTTCTCAAAGTCCCCCCCCAAAAAAATTTGGTCAAAGCACCCCATAACAAATGTTTAAGAATATTAATAAAAATTTGTCCTTAGATTACAAAACAGTCCTCTTACAATATAATAGTCAATATATTTTTTCTTAGAAATTTGCATTATTGCTATAGAAATTTTTCATTACGAAACATTTCCTCAATATTAGGTAGTCATTTAAAACAATTCCCTTGAGATAATGGTTCAGTTTTGTCCATGTTTAGGTACATACAATTAAATTATAAATTAAATTTAACACAAATAAGTGTACCTGTAAACCGAGTTTTTGTCAAATGAAACACACACAATGGAAAATAAGGAAAACTTGTTTAATCAAGTTATAATAAATTATCTGTATCGTGTAATGGAATGAATACAGTTGTCAAAATCTCTCTCAACAATCTCAGGGTGACAGAGGGAGGCTGTCGACCAATCATCATAGGAAACTGGGTGTCAAACTTCAAAACAGATTGATTGGCAATAAACTCAGTAGTAAGAGCTATGTCAGATCTTACTGGTATTATGAGCAAAATATTTAAAAGGAGATAAGGTTTCAGCTTCATCATGTTCATGTAGCTGACACTTCCTTCATACTTTTTATTTGTCAAAATGAAATAAATGACCAACATTGGGGATGGTTTGTGTCATTTTAATATTATTTTTCCTGTGTGATCACAGTGATAAAATTTTTTTTTAAATAGGCCTGGGGTGCTTTGTCCAAAATAAGGGGGCGCTCTGGTTAAATTGTGGAGGGTTTGTGTTACTTGATTATTTTTCCAGCGTGATGGAATTGTTTTTTTTTTTTGTATATTCTATAGGGAGTGCTTAGACCAAAATTAGGGGGCCTTTTGATCGACCAAAACTTGGAGGTGTTGCTGTAAGTAAAGATAATTGTTTTTATATACATTATGTTACGGGTGCTTTGTCCAAAATTAAGGTGTGCTTTGACTAAAATTAGGGATATTTTGACAAAAAATTAGGAGGTTTTCTAAAATTATTTTTCTATAAATCATGTTACAGGGCATTTTGACAAAACAGGTGACTGGCACTTTGACCAAAATTTGTAATGCACTGAAAATACACTGTAACCTCCAAATTAATCATAACAAACCATTTGGAGCTTGTTTATGCCTTCAACCCTAAAAAAAAAATCCGTATAAAGAAAAAAATCAACATTTTCTCATTTTTTTTTTTCTCACTTCAAATTTATATGCCATGAACATTATTACATTCGGAAATTCTCTGGATTGCTCATAGTGTAGATTTAATTATCTGCCCCTGTTTATTTTGCTACATTGACAACACAAGAAAGAATTGATATTAAACTGGGTATGTAGTACAATATCATTTTAATGATAGAACATTCTATCTAGGTTTGACCAACTCTAGGAGACACTTTGACGGGGGGGGGGGGGGGGGGGGGTAATGAAGTGTACCGACTGGATCCTATTCTTTTCTGTCAATTTTCTCCAAAGGTAAACTGGTAGAGCATCTTTTGTACATAGGTTTATAAAAAATTGATAAATCATTAAAAATTGAACAATATTTTTTGCACATCGCCGAATGCCCTCGATTTTGACTTATAACCTAATTTCAAGTTCGTCAATATTTCTTACTTTCCGATATACGTGCAAGATTTCCTTTAAAATCCATGGCCCATTGATTTAAAGTACTAGTTGCTAATGTTGCTGTCCTCCCCATGGTTTAAATCTTTTTGCACAAAGAAAGTAAGACAGATATAGTTTTATCCACTGTTGCCTGGGAATTAACGAAATCCAAAACGAAAGTAAAGGCGATCTCCGTTTGTCGTAAAAAAAAATGGTTTACCTAAAAATGGGGAATGAACGATTTTTTAAATTTTCAGTTACATTCACTAACTTCTTTTTTAACAATTATTGATTTTTTTCAGACTTGTCTGTTACTGTTAATTTCTTTTTAATTATCATTTTACAACCCACCTTGTATTTACGACAACCGGGAATGGATATCGTTCATCGCCATTTTCTTTCGAAGAAAAGGATGTCCGATGTAAATCCGATTACGTAGACATATCAGCCTCTCGTAATCTATCTGAATCAATTTCTTTAAAGGTAATGATAACAGAAAAAATTGCTTGTTATTTTTCATAGAGGAATTTTGTTAGACGTATGTTCTTTACATTTCTTAAATAAAAAAGGATAACTTGTCTGGCGTATAAACAACGGCCTTTTACCCACATGACCCAGGTAATTTTTTTCCTCGTTGTATTATGTATTTTCTCTAAGTCATAAAATTCTCAAACACAGTTGTTTTAATTATAAATTAGATATGTAGTGTGTGTTTTTTTTTCTTTTCAAAATGGATTTAGATGTTTTAAAGTAAGAGCTAACACAATAAAAACATTTCAGTAGATCTGCCTAAAGATAATTTCTAATTATAGATAACCTGGGGTTATGAATTCTATTAAGTACATAACAGCTCAGAAATAGTGTCCTTACAAAAACTACCAAAGCTGCCCCAGTGTTTTTGCATTGATTTTGAACTTCAAAAATTTGTTTCAATACAATAAACAGGTCCAGCATAATCTCTTGATTTAGCTGAATAGCTTGAATTAGCTATATAGATTTATTAAGCTATTCGAAATAGCTTGATAAAGCTATTAATATGCAGTTTTCAAAAAATGTTTTTGTAAGAAAGAGACAAAAAGTCACAAGTATTTGACTATTCATATTAGGAGTGAAATGGTTCACCATGGTATCGATTCACCGCAGTATTTTTTTCTCGGTTTGATACACGGTGCAAAATCTTTTAATTTTCGGTTCGGTTCTTTTTTCAGTCAGGATGGTTATTCAATCGGGGCATAAGGTAAAACACGTTACTCAGTATAAGTAAGGTTAGAAAACGTAAATTTTGGAGGACTGAAAGTTTGTAAAATAATTTTTGACAGTCAAATAATTCTAATAAATTTCTTCTAGTCAGTTTGTAAATAAAATTCGTAAATTAAGTGACTAGATTTAGTAAAAGAAAGCATAAAACAACGTTTAATTTGTTTCCTTCTAATTTGTTTCCTAAATGTACATGTATCATATTGAAAATAACCGTACCGAGACAAAATTATACAATACTTATCGAACCGTGAAGGATTATTATGTGTAAAAATATCATGATATTATCATGATATTTTTGGTAAAAATTGTGATATATCGTGATACATTATTTTGACGATACCCATCCCTACTGCACACAACCTTGTGTGCATTGAGGCATGGATTAGAGTGAGTGCTTCACATTGTGTGAAATTATTACCAGTCAGTTACCTTGTTGACCTGAATTAACCTCATTTATAATTTCATTCAAAAACTAACTTACCAACCCTTGATTTATTGTGAATATTACAGGAAACAAACATAATTTTTTAAAGCCTAATTAGCATTCTAATTCTGCTTATTACTCAGTTATATTTGTTGCTTGTTTTCTTTGTGTGATAAAATACTGGAAGACAGCTTTTGATATTCCAAAAATGTCTGGTTTACATTTTATAATACAAAAGTACAACTTCTGTTATCTTAACAAATTTTAAACAATATTATTGCACATTTTTGTGTCGTTTGATATTTTGTGCGGGCGACCTGAAATTCATTTGGGCAACCTGAAATCAGTACCAAGGTTGCCCAAATGGCGAGACCAAATTTTGACGAGTGTCGAAGCCTGGAGTTCAAAGTTGAATACTGTCACTGCACCAAGGTGCGACATTTTGTACATCCTGAAAAAATAATAGATTTAAGAAAAAAGTGTGATAAATAGCTAAATCAAGCTATTCTGAATAGCTTAATAAAGCTCTGTAGCTAATTCAAGCTATATAGCTTAATCAAGAGATTGTGGTGGATCTGGTAAAGCTCTATAAGTATGAAAATATGGATATAGTGAATTTATGGATATAGCGAGTGCTTTGGGATCCCTGGCAAAATTCCATGAAAAATTTTACAGAATGACAAACTTGATATAATGAAATTTTGGAAATTGTTAACTGATTTTGTGTCGGAAAGAACAATATTTGCATCTTTTATAACAAATTATGGGTAGACTTGACTTTACCGGTCCCCAGATCCGCAAGATCCACACGCTCATTGCACTGTGACATAAGATTTACGTCACTCAACTGATTAGGGTTAGTTTTGCACATTTTTCGACTGGTTAGGGTTAGTCTTGCACCTACCTGAAAGATTAGGGTTAGTCCTTGCACAAGTTTTCAACTGATTAGGGTTAGTCTCGCATCCATCTGAGAGATGAGGCTTAGTCCTCGCACATGGGTTAGTCTAGCATCCGCCCGGGAGATTTGGGTTAGTCCTCGCATACCATCCGAGAGATTAGGGTTAGTGTCTTGTTCTTTTAGATTAATTAGGAAATTCAGATGCATCTGTATTTTTTTAAGATCTTAATTCAGCTTCAACGACATCTCGTTGGTTTGTTTACATGAAAAAAAAATGGCTAAGTACGAAAGAAACGGCACTAAGCATGCGCTGCACGTGCTTCGTCACAATTATTTTTTGTCTCCTCTTCAATGAATGAACAATATATGTTACTTTTTTTTTTCAGAGAACGAGGTTAAAAACTTCGTTTAAAAACGAATTTTTAAACTAAAGTTTTAACCGTAGAATTCAATTTTGGGGTCAAAAAGGCTTAAAACCTCATACTTTTTATTTTTTACGATCGCTCACGCGATCTCATATATACTGAAGTCGCCTATGGCGACACTATATTTTAGCGCGTTTTTCTGGGGACCGGTAAAGTAAAGTCGTTCCCAAATTTTTCTCGGAATTTAAAATATTGAACTGCAAATATTTTAAGTACTAAGTCAGAGTTGGCAAAAAAGTGGGAAATACTCATATTTCCCAGGACAGTGGGAAATACTGGTAATTACGAGGAATGACTGGTATTTCCCGGGAAATACTGGGAAATAAGAAACACTTACATATTTCATGAATTTTATCAGGGGTATAGACATGTAGTGCACTTTATGGGTTAAGATATCTATCTGGTATCACTGTCCCTGATTTAAAAAAAATATCAGATTTCCAAGTAATTCATTTTATATAATCATAATATTCATATACCAGTCATGTCTTTTGTTTCATGACTGTGTCAGATGTAGTCTATAAAGGTCTATGAAATGAACCCAAAGATCCGAACTGGGTTTTTTATGTAACTTAAGAAGGATCTAAGAAAATTGTTAGATGTAGAGTATGGTGTAAATATCAAACCTAAGAAGAAGTCTTTCATTACATTTACTACTCAAGGTACTACATTACATTTACTACTCAAGGTACTACATGTAGTAATTATATCTCAAAACAGGAGCACAAAGCTCTCCAGAGCAATTTGTTAAAACAACATGATTGATTATAATAACTACAGTGTTTATGGAAAACAAGTTTGTTTTGTTCTTGGATTTATAATTAATAATCTAAATAATTTTACAAAACCTTAAGAAACTAGAATTTGAAAACTGCAGTTTTGTTTTTAATATACATGTACAACCAGGGAAATGTGTACTTCTTCAGAATGCTTATGGGTAGGGGAGCTGGAGTAGTGATACATTCTGAATATGTAAAATTGCAGTCATCTTCTGTATTTATGTTTATTTTATTTCTGAATTTTGTATAAAATGGAATGGATTAAAGAAATAATAAAATTTAAGTTTGTATTTCCCAGTATTTCCCAATATTTCCCAGTTTAGAGAAAATTTGTAGTATTTCCTAGGATGGGAAATATCGGTATTTACCATTGGTACTTCCCACCACTGGTATTTCCTGGCCAACCCTGTACTAAGTATTAATATGATATTTGAAATTCAATCCATCAGAAAACTAGTAATCCAAGGTAAGTTTTGTATTTGATACTTCCCTGGGCATATTCAGATTTCAGTTGTCATACTTGAAAGAAAACATGTACATGTATATTCCAAAATTCACCTAAATAATTTAACAGATTCATTATATGGGTACATAACAAATTATGAATATGGATGAAGTTAATTCACAGGTCCTCAGGATTTCGCTATGGTCGAGTTTACTAAAAGTGGTACATGTACTAAAATGCTTGGGGCAGTAAAAATTGTCTTTATCTAGTTTGTAATGGACTGGACACTTGTGGTGTATCTTAGTGCCACTAAATTTGGTGTTGGTAGTATAAATGGCATTTAAATTTGATGGGTGGTATTGGAAATATCGCACTATTCTGACAGTTGCACAAATGGTCAAAATGTGTTAGACATCAGGTATGACAATGTTGAAATGTTTATGAACTGACAAAATATTTGGTAAGCATGTGACGTTCCAGCACTACGGTACAATTTTATTGTACACAATACAAACTTATTGTATTCAATCATGCATTTAATTTCCTTTTTACTTTATATTCATGTTATTGCTTATTTGAGGAAATTGGAAATTGGTTGTTTGTGAAATGTGTCATTTTGTGGGGCAGTATCTTATGAATGAATTTATTTATGAAACTTTTTTTTAGAGGATATAGAATTTGACCAAATCTGGCTCAATGAGAGTGCTAGAGACTGAAGCGACACCGTCGTATAACATGGGAAAGAATAAGAAGCACAAACTTCGCAAGACCAAAGAGGTGTCAGACTCGTCAGATGATGCTTTAGGAGGTGAGCATCTAATCATTGCAATGTTGTATAAGGACTCTCACACCACTATTTTGGTACAAGGACTAGGGTTGTAAAAATTGGGAAAATTATCGCATTATTGAAGTTCAGGGGGTAATTGGGAAAATCAACTTTAAGAAAAGTCACATTTTGTTTTTCTGGTGTTTAATCACTATAATCATTACAAAGGACAAATTCAATTTGGTACCTATTCTGAATTGAAAATGGATCAGTTTAGCAAGCCCACTTATGGACAATCAAGAGCCCTGTATATGCCTAAGAATTATTAGAATTGAAATGAATTTATGAATAGTATTGTTATAAGTTAAAAAATCATGAATTTTTATGATGCACAATGTGATTTAAATTTTAAGAAGGAATGGAAAGAGAATACATTTAAATGCACAAAGTGAATTTCGACTTCAAGACCAATATATTTGCCGCGGTACAGTATGCACTGTAGACTTGAAGTTGAGTGCTTTAAGGATCTTTGTCTTTTTCAGTGCCACGCTGTAATCACATTAACATGGCTGTTAATGTAGCAGCCATGAAAAAGGGATTAGTAAAACAAGTATATGGAGAGTGTGCTGTAAGTTTTTTACCATGCTGCCATTTAATTTTCTTAATGTTTTGGACATAAATGATGGACCTCCTACATTTGGCAAGCTAAAGAATTTAATAAAATGTTTATACTCTCAAAATATTGCATTAATATTTTCTTGTACTTTTATATCTTATACATGTAGATTCTGTCTGACTCTAGTGTAAACTATATATTTTAGATGTTAAAATGTCCATTTGTTCTTTTAAAAAAATCTGGAATGTAATTCAAAATTTTTGATTTTTTAGTCATGTACCAATGAAACTACTCGTAAAACCACAACAGAAGGGGACACAGGCCAGGAGGCAGAGGCGTCCTCTGCTCTGGAAGTAGAACCAACTCTCTGGGTTTGTCTACAATGTGGAAATCAGGTGAGCCTGCATCATTATATGTATTAAATAATAGACATACTGTATATACATGTATCTAGAAGATGAGTGATTATTTTAGCAGAGTGGTGAAATTTTGATTTATTCGAAGAAAAACTATGGATATCGTATGTTTCAGGGATGTGATCGTAACTCTCGGGAGAAGCATGCATTGAAGCATTACGAGACACCAAGGTCTAGCTGTCATTGTCTAGTTATTAACACCACCTCATGGACAGCATGGTATGTTAAAACAGGCTCTTATGAAGGGGATTGAGCATGTTAAAGTATCAATTTTCTCATGTTGATAAAAAGGTGTTATAAATTCTACTTTGAATAATCATATACATTAGATGATAATGAGAAACATGGTAATTAAATGAAAAAATAAATTAAATTAAAGAAATTTCAAATTCTTGCATTTCCTGAGTTTTTAAATTGCTCTTTAAATGTAGTTATTGAATTTCAAACTCCTTACAAACAAAATTGCCAGGTGTTACAAGTGTGATGATGAAGTTCCTATAGAGCAAAGTAAGAGGTTACAGGAGAGCATAGATATTATAAGGAAGCAGGCAGGACTGCCCCAGACTGATATAGGTATGGAGACTGTCATTAAACATAATAAATTATCAGTTCTAATTTGTAAGTGTGATGTGAAACAAACTGAAAAGAGCATTTCTGTAACATGTAGGAATGAAACAGTTGGAAAGATAATAGAACTTGAGCATTATTTCCTTTTCTATATCCTAAAATATATAAATCATTTTATTTTGGGGGGAAAAGTTGAAGAATTTATGTACATGTGAGAATTCTTTGTTTTACAGGTCGTAAACAAAGTCAGACTGGTAGCTCAACTGGAATTATTGAGCAGTCCTCCAAATCCTCCACTTTGACACCAAGGTCATCAGGAGTGTGTTCAAAGGTCAAGGTTAGTAAGAAAAAGAAAACAAACTTGTAATACAAGCCCCCCCCCCCCCCCCCCCCCCCCCAGCTATACTGTGCTTCAATTTGTGTTCAAGGTTTTATGCAATTCTCCAAAACATGTGCAGTGAAATATTACTTCCTTTTGGAATGATTTTTTTGTGTAAAAAGAAATAATTTTTTATTGCATTGTATTAATTACCCTTATTTATTTCAGGGTTTGAGTAATCTTGGAAATACATGTTTCTTCAATGCAGTTATGCAGGTAAATATTTAAGTATAGAGTTAATATAGGTTTTATCATTACTGTCAGTGGATTTCAAATGGATTTGCATTGCAGTTCTTTTTCTTTTTTCCTTTAGAATTTGACTCAGACACCTTGCTTAGAATCAGTGGTAGTAGAGAAAAGTAAAAAGGGTCGCTCATGTACCCTCACCTGTAAACGGGACAGTGACCTAGATTCTAGCTCAGGGTCAGATGACAGTGATGAGGAGATATTACCAGACCTTGTAAGATGGAAAAAAATCTGGACTTAAAAAAATATATGTTTCTCTTTTTTTAAACATAAATAAGTATAGAAATTGAATTATTGAGCATTTGTTTGTATATCTAATGTGTTGTGTTGAAGAAGTACACGTATTTTACTGTTTAAATTTTGTTCAAAATAGAGAATTTTTTCCCTGTTGTGAAAATTGGGGAAATATTTAGTTATGTTAACTTACAAATAATAATAGATAATTGAAAACTGAATATTAATATAAAAAATTATACATGTACATATAAGTTCTCTTTATCAGGGCATGTATTTTCTCATTTTCAGGCTCCTATAGAAATATCATTACCAGAAGCTGGTCCCTTGACACAGACCATGATAGCATTTCTACAAGAGATGAACAACTCCTCTGGTCGTTCTAGCACTGTTAATCCTATTCCCTTGTTTAGTCAGATATGCAAAAAGTAAGCAGAAAACATGTGCTGAATTTTATTTAAGGAACTTGAATTTTTTCCATATATGAAAATGAAATGAGCAATTCTTTATTGTTCCCATTTATTTTTGTTGCTAGATCTTGCAAAAAAAAAGGAGATTTACAGAAAACGAAAGATATTTGAATTACAAAATTTTGTTTTAGAGCCCAAAGATTTCGTGGTTTTCAGCAACAGGATAGTCATGAACTTCTGCGATACCTTTTGGATAACATGAGGATGGAAGAAATCAAGGTGTGCAAAAAAAAAAATGTTCCTAAAGTTTATTTTGTTGAAACAAGTTTTCAACTAAAATTTGTTTACATCATAGATATTGTGATTAGGGTGAATTCATAATGGATGGGATACTGTTTCATTTTTAAATACATGTACATGTATCACAACCTTATACAGTTAACAAGCAGCACTTTTATCTGACAGTTAGATGTTCATCATAACCATGATTTTTTCTGTATAATTTGATTGTGGTACTCAAATCTGACAAGAGTTGTTGATAAAGTAAGAATATGCTGTTTTATTAGAGATAATAAAGGGATTTTTCATGCCACCGAGTAATTGAAAACACAGTCATGACTGTTTATGAAATAAATTTCTTTGTGCATTAAGAATTTCTTTTATGTTTGAGCTTATTTGTGTTTGTTTACAGAGGGGACAAGCTGGGATATTAAAGCACTTCAAGCTGCCAGAGAATGTCAACCCAAAGAAAGTGGATGACGAAATGAAAATTAAAATCAAAGGTACAGTTGTTTGCCAGATCTAGTGTTAGTGTAAATGAAAGAAAACAAATGACAAATATAAGAAATACTTTTCTCTGTTGTAGAATACGGACGCCAAGTAAAATACACCTTTGTAGACTCTTTATTTGGTGGATACCTGATGAGTACAGTTACATGTGAGGAATGTAAAAATGTAAGAATTATGCAATACTTCCTTAATGTATACAAATAAAACAAAAAATGTTTAATTGTTTTATGTGAGATAGTACCTTGCATGTCCATTTGTGTATTACATCTTGTCCTTATATTCTTAACATTTTTATATCAACCTCTAGATATCCCAGATATTTGAGCCCTTTCTGGACCTGTCCTTGCCAGTGACAGAGGAGAAACCCCAGCGGCCTAATCAGATGTTGGGAGGGCGTAAAAAAGACAGTTTGGAACACCATGAGGAAACCGTTATAGACCACACAGATAGACCTAGCAAACATATGGAGAGGAAGCTGAAGAAACAGGCTAAAAAGGAGGCTAAGGTACATCAGTTTATTGCATATAGAACTTGCAGTACGAGCAAGGGCAAAGAAAGATATACATATTTCTTCAGTAGGGTTAAGAAGCAGACATTTTGACTTGAAAAAATGATTTCCTTTAATGGCTTAAAAAAAAAGTACTGGTTGCTAAAAAATCTTCTTCTCAAGAACCACTGGGCAGATTATCACCAAACTTACACAAAAGGATGAGGATATGTTGTAGATTAAAATTTGCACGGGGATTTACCCTGGGGCAAAGGGCGTGGTCTCAAGGTCACTTCAAAGTTGACCAAAAATTACATTTTATTTAAATGTTGATATTTTGCTTACTATAAGGACTAGGATCATCAAATCTTGTCAGTTGGTGCATCTAAGGACCTCATATCATGTTGACTCAAAAGTAGGTCACGGTGACCTACTTTTTAAATTTTGCGGCCATTCTTTTTCAAAATGATTTAGAGGCATATTTTGAACAATTTAAGGCCTATGATCATCAAACTTTGTCAGTTGATGCATCTTGGGTCCTCAAAGTACGTCAACTAAAAAGTAGGTCACCTTGACCTACTTTTTGAATTTTATGGTTAATCATTTTTAAAACAATTAAGGTCATTAATTCAAATACGGGGAGGCTTAGAATCATTAAATCTTGTAAGATGATGCATCTTGGGGCCATAAAACATATTTATTAAAAAGTAGGTCACAGTGACCTACTTTTTGAACTTTGCAGGCATTCGATTTCAAAGCATTTTAGAGGCATAATTTGGACATTTTAAGTCCTATGATCATAAAACTTTGTAAGTTGATGCATCTTGGGTCCTCAAAAAAGGTCAACTGAAAAGTAGGTCACCGTGACCTACTTTTCAATTTACATGACTATAATTAAATATTTCGGGTACTAATTGGCTTAGAATCATCAAACTTTGTCAGTTGATGCATCTTGGGTCTTCGGAGTAGGTCGACTAAAAAGTAGGTCACCGTGACCTACTTTTGAAAATTTATGGCTTTAATTAAATATTTCGGGTACTAATTGGCTTAGAATCATCAAACTTTGTCAGTTGATGCGTCATGGGTCTTCGGAGTAGGTCGACTAAAAAGTAGGTCACCGTGACCTACTTTCGGAAAATTTATGGCTTTAATAAAATATTTCGGGTACTAATTGGCTTAGAATCATAAAACTTTGTCAGTTTATGCGTCATGAGTCCTCGGAGTACAACAACTGAAAAGTAGGTCACTGTGACCTACTTTTGAAAATTTATGGCTTTAATCAAATATTTCGGGTACTAATTGGCTTAGAATCATTAAACTTTGTCAGTTGATGCGTCTTGGGTCCTCGGAGTACAACAACTGAAAAGTAGGTCACGGTGACCTACTTTTGAAATTTTATGGCTGTATTTAATATTTTCAGGAATTATTTGGCTTAGAATCGTCAAAATTTGTCAGTTGATGCATCTTTGGTCCTCGGAGTAGGTTGACTGAAAAGTAGGTCACGGTGACCTACTTTTGAAAATATATGGCTTTAATTAAATATTACAGGTACTAATTGGCTTAGAATCCTCAAACTTTGTCAGTTGATGCATCTTGGGTTCTTGGAATAAAACAATTGAAAAGTAGGTCACTTTGACCTACTTATAAAATTTTATGATTATAATTTTAAAAAACATTTTAGGTATTAATTGGCTTAGAATCATCAAACTTAATTGATGGGTCCTCAGAGAATGACAAGTGATAAGTAGGTCACCATGACCAACTCTCAGGTACTAATTGGCATAGAATCATCTTGGGTTCTCAGAGTGTGAATTGGAATTTCAAGGGTTTATGTAAATATACAGGATACTTCGAAGCTTCAAATAGAAGTGATAGGTTGTACAGTTTATCAGAAGAGCGATTCAAGGCCCATGGGCTTCTTGTTAATTACCTTCTACCCCACCCCCCATCAATTTAAAATTGCTTTTGATACAACCACCCATCTAAATTAAAAAAAAAATTGTGTCACATATATATATATATATACAATAAAATTTTATGTATTAATTTTCAGGTATTGTAATTTATCTGACTTTGAATGAGTGTTGGGTTTTGACATCTATCCAACCAGGGCCCGTTTTACAAAAGAACTTTTGACCAAGATCAAAATGTTATGCAAATTAATTTCTTTTTTGCAGTACTTTAGAAATGTTTTAAATCTTTTTGAAAAAAAAATATGATAGTTTTATGCCAACAATTTTTGACAGAAACATAAGTTTTGTAAGATTTTATGAACAACTAAAGTTTTTAGTCTTAGTCATAAGTTTTTTTGTAAAACAGTTCCTGGTGTTCCTGTTACAGCTTAAAAAAATATGTTCCTTTAGGCCTATGATACACACCACTGAAAGCCTTTATTATATTGATTTGTATATCTGTTCTGATGCATAACTTTGTAGTCTGTAAAGCTTAGGTAAAGCTTTTACAAGTATGTATACACATGTACTAGTAGAAATGACATTCCTACAATTAATTAAAATTAATATTGTAAATTATAGCCTTAAGCTATCCTTAACAATTGTTGTTTACACCTTGTTCATAACAAAATGATTCCTGCTTTTTTTTTTGGGGGGGGGGGGGGACTAAACTTCTGTAGCCAGTGTCTGTAAAGTGAAAACTTTGATTAAAAAAATATATTTAATGAATTATAAATCCCATCTAACAACTTAGACCATTGGTGCATACAAGTTCGACAAGTTAACACTTAACAGGTTAAGGACTGGCATGTTTTTGACATAATATATTTCATATTGTTTTCAAACTCATATCTCATCTTCCTTTTACTCTGTATGTGGTATAAAGTAAAATATTTGACTTGCAAACTCCGTAGTCATGCTCTAAAACGTTCATTATCAGATACGTTTTTTTCTACTTTCGGTTTAAAATAAAACGATCTTTCTGATTGTTTCTGATATCATTTAATTTACCAATGTAATCATGTTTGATTAAACTGGCTAAAAGAAACTGGACCATGGAGTCCAAAGCACAACTAATCCGTTTTCCAATCCCCCACTCTCATTGCAGTCACAGTTGCACATGCTTTTATAGTTATCTGCCCTTGTTTCCTTTTTTGTTCGATTCTACTTTCACTTTCAATGTAAACACACTTTACAACTGTTTAGGACGAAAATATCGGTATTTACCGATTTATACAAAATGAGAGGAAAGAAATACTTTGCACTTGATTATTTGTGAGGGTAAATACAACCACCCATCTAAAAATATATCGAGTGAGGACAACCACTCATACAAATTTAATTGCTCCAGACCCACTACCCATACAAAAATATATGAAGTGCCGTCCAACCCTCCCGTACATTTTTTCCTGGAATAGCCCTCAGATACATATGATGAAGTGAGTTGGAAAACCTAACCACTTTTTCTTTGTTTTATTATGTACCCTTGGCATCCATCTTCGCTAGCCAAGGGTTTCTGATACGCTACTCTCCTCATAGAGAGTAGCGTATCAGAAACCCTTGGCTAGCGAAGATGCTTTGCATCTTGAATCTTGAGATGTCTCTCAGTTGTTTATTTTGCCCCATCAAGTTCAGAAGAGGTTTAACTGTTACTGGTTGTATAACATCATTTCTTTTCTTGCAGAGGAAAGCAAAACTGACTAAAAATCAAGTGTTTCCATCGGATGACCCGAGTTTGCCAAAAAATGAAGAGGATGTAGATCAGGAGGAGGCAGAAAAAGAAGAAGATGGAGGTTCTAAAGACCCAGAGGAGGAGTCCAGCAGTAGAGAGGACCCCTCAGGTAAATTATGAGTTATTATATCTGTGGATTTTAGCCCTGAAACAATTGCATTTGTCATTCTTGAAAAGTATTGACAAACATGTAATATGGTGTATCAGTCATTTAAAAGAATACTGTATACAGGGAAATTTTCGCCTCCGTTTTATTTTCGTCCCATTCGCCCTACTTACAGGTGGGTGAATTTAAAACAGGGTAAATTTATAGAACACAATATATTTTCTTAAACAGAACTGTGATTGGGTGAATTTAGAAGGGGCAAAATTGTTTGGATGTGTAAAAGGGCGAAAATAACCCTGTATACAGTATTGCACGTGTACATAATTTGGTGTATTCAAAATTTAGCACAATCACTGGGTATGGAGTTGTTGGCAAAATCATGAATTAGGGCTTTACATGTCCATGTCGTATGTTGTGTTTATAAATGATTTCTTAGCGGTATTCATGAATTAGCGCATCGTTGTCTGCGCCAAAGCCGCTAAAATATGAAGCCCACTTTAAAAGGGTTTTTATCACGTATCTAAATTTTTTAGAAATGAAGCACTATTATATTCTTGAAACATATAATTATCGTTTAATTATGAAATAACTTTAAAAACAGTCATAATTAAGCGATAAAACGCCCGTAATATCGAGTTCTCGAAGTAAAAATCTCCACTGATTAGATAGGGGTCATGTGGTACTGAAATGTCATAGGTGTCAATGGTCAATTAGAACTCGTAAAGCTTATCATAAGAAAAATGTATCAAATAGATTTTGACGTTAAATAATATACACTACACAATAAGATCGATGGAAATTTTGACATCGACGATATTCTTTTAGTTAGATGGTCAATCTTTTATGTATGAACATCTAGCAGAGAGAAATAACCAAGAAAATATGCCAACAATAGGAGAGGACACCGAAGACAAAGCCGTTGACAACTCGGGACTTCCGACTAAATAGAACGAATAACTAAAGTTGGACTTCGTAAATATTTATAAATATAAGAATTTTGAATTCAACTTCTTCATTATTTTAACATCGTTAAAGAATTTATTAGTGCAGTGCTATATTCTTCATATTAACTGTGCTCCATACGTGCAACAGTACATGTTCATCTTTTACAAGTGAAAGATTCGTGGTCCTCAAGATATTGTCGAACTAAATAGAACGAATAACTAAAGTTGGACTTCGTAAATATTTATAAATATAAGAATTTTAAATTCAACTTCTTCATTATTTTGATAAACTGTATATAAATATTCTCTCTGTTCCAGTGAATATCATGTACTAGAAATGACATTTCTTCAACACTGTTCAATGGCGCCGTAGTACGCCATTACGAAGTTCACAACATTCCTACTAGCATATACTAGATTCTGTGCGACTTTAAAAATGCGTGTTGGGTATTTTTTCTGTTTTTAAAAAGGTACCATGTCCTTAAGATATTTTATAGTAGAGAAAAAAATCGTAATTGGGCATAAACGATTGTTCTGAATGGAGACAAAGCCCCCACGTTTGCAGAAAAAAGGGCCCCCTTCTCGACCAAGTCTAGGAAATGTGTAAAAAAGTCTTCCTAAAACCTTTCTTGTGCACATTTGTGCATCTTAGAGCCACAAATTATACCCTACTAGCTGTCAATTATCCAATTATCACTTATTTATTTACTAACAGGTTTAATAGACACAACAAATTAACCGTTTTGTATACACAGTAAGTACTTTTCTTGACCAGGATTGACACCTATGATGTCAGAGCAATGGCGCATAGCATCGGTGATCAAAATATGCATATTGAGAAATTCAAACTTTGAATCCCTGAAACATCAACAATATTAATTTTCTAGCAAAGATTTTTAAATATATGATTTTAATAACATGTAGACTTTGTCATATCAAAATATTTTGAGACGTGATAAAAACCCTTTAAGTACACATACAGTATATTAGATGAATATCTTACGTGAGAGAGAGATTAGATCGATATTTAATTCTAACCACATCCAACAGGACAACATGTACGTGTATGCAACGTTGACAGCAATGTTTACAGCTAGATTGAACTAAAATGAAAACTTCATGATTTGCATTACCAGTAAACAACAACATCTTGTATAAATAAACATGAAACATGTTTCAGATGCTGACATAGAAGACAATCTGGAGAGTGATACCTCAAAATGTTTTAGTAAACTCAGTTTAGAAAACTCCCTAGCTGAGCCCTCACAGTCATCTCAGGAAAAACCAGAGGTGGATCAAACAAGTAACCAAGGGGTGGATAGTGGTACCTCAAGCAGCAATACTGATACGCTTACCTCAGGAAATAGCACCTCAACAATTAAACAGGAAGACTCCTCAATAGGGAAAGATGGAGGATTGGTCAGTATACCATCAACCACTCAAAGCTACAGTACTGACCTCAAAACGCCAGACAATAGCACAGAACCTAAATATAATGGTCAAACAGAAAATCCTGTTTTTCATAACGAATGCGTTTCTCATGAATGCACTCTGTCTAATTGCAAAGAGAATGGTGGATTGGAAAATAACATGGAATGTGACAATGATGTTGACAGTTGCTGTAAAATGGATTCAGAATGCAACATTGGTATTCCCAAAATAAACCATATACTTAGTAATGGTTTTGGAGAAACTGACAATTGTGGTAGGACTACTAGTGAAAGTGTGGAACCTCAGACTGGGTCAGATCAGATCAAGGAGGAGGTCCGAGTGAATGGAGAACCTATGCATTCCCACTCCAGACACAATAGCACAAATAGTGAAGTGACAGCAAAGTTAGGAAACTTAATTCTAGAAGATTCATCTGTAGTCAACAGTGTTGAATACCTTCAAGAGAATGGAATAGTAGATTTGCAGAGTGGTGGATCCAATTGTGAGAAAATAAGTGTTAGCACTCCACCTCCACATCATTCCAAAAGTGTGAAAGATATAAAGAAGGAAGCGTTGGTCAGGTCAAAGGTCACCCTAGGGTCACGGTATCACCCAGCATCTAGGGAGTGTACCATAATGACATGTTTACACCAGTTCACCTCCGCAGAGTTACTGACTGGCAACAATAAGTTTGGATGTGCTAATTGTACGCAGAAGAAATACTGGCACAATCAAGGTGTCAGCAAAGGTAGATATTATGATATATTGTTCTGCTCACTTTCACCTTCATAAATTCTTAGTATCGGTATTTATTCGTAAATGGATCTTGCAAAAGGAATTGTTCTGAAAAAATTAAACAGGGAGTTAATTTTAAAATAATTTGTTTATTCAATTTTTCTGTCTGTAATTAACAGGTTTTTTCTGAACTTGTTTAACAACTTACTTCTGCCATACTCTTTATTGTTTTAAACCTACTAGTACTTATTCTTGATTTACATGGATCAATTTAACAGTCTAAAAAAAGAATATTCAATACAGAACGAAAATTATCCAACATTAACATTTTGTTATTAAAATGAAGTTACTTTAGCTCAAACCACTTAAACATAAATCTACAGCCTGTATAGTCATGTATTTTCAGACCCCACATAATTTAATAGATTCAATAGAAATTTCAAAATAATTTCAAAAATTTGGAGAATTTTTTTTTCTTTTTTTAAACTTAACTTGGTTTAGTAACTTCTTTCTTTATTCATAATTTTGAGAAATACGTGTACATGTAGCTTACATTTTTAATAGGTGTTTTATTTTCAATTATCATGTTTTAATCATGGCACTGACTCAGAGACTGGTACATGGCATTGTTCTACATATGTTTATGACTTTACAAGCTATGGCATAAGTAAATTTTTGGTTCATTTGTGCATTCATCATGTTTATAAACATGTGCAGATTGTATATTTCCTAACAGGAAATCATTTACATTGTGAACAACAAAGCCATCAGAAATATTATATATTTAAAATATTCATATTTCAGATAAGAGAGAAAAAGTTTATTCAAATGCAGCAAAGCAGTACTTAATATACACACCCCCAGCCGTGCTTACTTTACACCTTAAACGATTTGAGCAGGTGAGAAATTTGCTAAATTTGATTTTGTTTTTGTTCAATACATTAAATTTTCCTAAAAAATGTTGCCATAAGCATTTACATATGGAAAGGAATGACTACTGCATTTGCAGACAAATGTTTTTTTTTATTCCAGAAATTTCAAAATTGAAAAGTATTAAATTTTGTTTAAATAATGCATGCCAAACTAATAGAATTTGATCATAAAACTGAAAAATTAATGCATGTATAGACAGTCTGTACATAAATTATGTTTTAAAATTGTATGAGTATTCATGTAGCACCAGTATCTCTACAGATAAGCTAACCTTTGTGAAGGATTACACTCTATCATTTGTTTGTTAGTGAATTGTTTAAAGATGTTTATAATGTGTTTTATAGGTGGGTTTTAGTTCTCGCAAGGTGAACAGGCAAGTAGATTTCCCATTTGTTCTGGACCTAGCCCCTTACTGCAGCTCACTGTGTCAGGTAATCTCCAAATTTTTATGAGTGAAAAATAGCTGATTATGTCAAATTTCTTAAAACTGCTGTATAGGTATTTTATACATGTACCATATAAAGAAATGGGTAGAATGTTAAGTTGCTTTTTTAATGTTTTCACATGGTTACATGTATAATGCAACTGGGTTTCATTTAATTACCAGTTTTCTTTTCAATAACACTTTTTAAATGCAGGGTGTTAGACCAGGACAAAAGAAAATTCTCTATGCATTGTATGGAGTAGTGGAACATAGCGGGCGCCTAAATGCTGGACACTATACAGCATACGTCAAAGTCCGACCAAATATCGGTATTACAGGAGACTTTGTTAACTCGGGAGCACCCTCTATCAATGACTGTATCAAACGTTACCCAGAACAACAGAACAGCACTGCCAGTCTAGAAGAACAGGAGGAAAGTTTGGTGGATCGTCTGGTACCACCTGGTAGGTGGTACCACATCAGCGATAGTCGTGTGAGTGAGACCACGGAATCCACTGTCCAGAGAGCCCAGGCCTATCTTTTGTTTTATGAACGAATTTATTAATGTGTGTTCAAAGTTAGGGAAAATAAGTGATTGCAAATTCTTTTTCTATGTGTCAGTTTTTTTTGTAAGAATTCTGTAACAATGATGGGAAAGAATCTTTCTTTAATTTTCAATACAAATGTTCTTATGAAATGTGATTCATTTTATTATTATCTTAAGGGAATTGGTCTGAATATGAAATTGTAATGAAAGCTTGTTAATTTTGAAGTTTGGTCTAATTGTTCATTAGGTATTGGATGATTGGTGCAAGGGACAATACCCAATTAGATTTCATGTAGTTTGTATGAAACTTGTTATAGAGTTACTTCTTTAAGTGATATTAACAATATTCTATATGAACGTCAGATACAGTCTGTACTGTGCATTTAATGACATTTGTTCTTGAAATGTACAACACTGGAAAAAAGTCTTTCAGGTCATTTATTAAAAATAAAAATTCATGGTTGTTCTATAAAAATGTGCATAATTTTATGCCTTGAAATTACTCAATTCTGTATCCTTCAAATTGCATGTACAATGTACATGTAAAAATACCATTTTTTATGGAGACAACATGCAGCTCTGATGAAACGAGTACTTATCGTCCAGGTACTGTATTGTATATTAACAACTGAACTTTGATGGATTAGTTTACAGTGCAATCATTACACAGTCATGTACAAACTCCCAGTAACAGAATTAATGCCATATGTCAGTGACAGACAACAATAAAAGATTGTATAATAAATTTGAATGTGTAAACAGCCATATCATTTTGCACCAGTTAAACTCAATAAAGATCATAACTTTAGGTAATTTTAGGTCTACCACATAACCCTTTAAGTAAGGCTTTATCAAAGTATGTGAGAGACAGTTGAGTCATGCATATAACTTACAACTACTCAATCCATTACATTTGCCATATATTTACAACTGCATCATTTGATATGATTTTTCTAGAGTCTTTTTTAAAAATAATAGTTAAACCTTAGTTTTGAGATAAAACCATGTGTTATTAACCATGAGTTTTTATGTTTGGAATATGTTAGAGATCTACATGTAGTAGTTTCATGTGTACATTGTTACTTTTGAACGGTATTTGTTTTTATTCAAGATAGTAGTTCTGAAAGAAAAAGCCGTGCTGTATATCAGAATTCCTTTGACATTAAAATGTACCAAGATAAATTTTATTGAAGCGAGAAATATATTTGTTGATACAACTTTGAATTTCTATTTATATGTATCATATGGTACAAATGATCTAGTAAAAACGGATCCCTACAAAATCATGTTATTATGAATGTATGTTGTTAATGATGATCTTGACTGTTTTTGTGATACAATACAGATATCTTCTGAATAAATTTACTTTACATTTTCATGTTTTGAAATTAATTTTATTTTATAAAGAGCTAGGTTCACTTTATACATAAAATGACCTTATGGATATACAAATTTATTGACTAAAACCCTATGTCCCATTTTCAACATTAATATAAAGTAGAGACTTAGTGCTTTCAGATATGACAAAGTTTCCTGTAAATAGCCCAGGTATTGATAAACGGGTTGTGTGAAATTGCAATGTTCTTGAATTTTGCTGAAAACAGGTGTATTTGAGAACGTTCAGCAAAGAATTTAGATATGAGCACACCCCTCGATCCAAAAATTAAAATATGTTTTATATTCTTCATATGCAGTTATTTCATATGTTTGCACATTTTGGATCAGAGGTTGTGCTGTATACAAAATATTGAAAAATAGCATCATTTTTTGCCATATTTGAAGAAATATTCAGGATATGTGAATAATGACACAATTCATGACGTCATAATGCATTAACTAGCAAGAAAATTATGTCATTTTTAGTAGACATTCAGTCACCAAGGGTTCAAGTGATATTTATTGCCTTGTTGACTAAAACAACAGTTTTAATTTTTCAGAAATTCACAGGGCCAAAAAAGGCCCAAAGTGGCCATTGCTCTTTGCCAATATTACAGTTTGAGTTTAGGTGATCATATTTTGGACTTGTAACAGGAAAGGAGAAAATACATGACTGGACAGGGAATCAAACTCAGGGACCCCTGCATCACTAGTCAAGTGCTCTCCAACTGAGCTACCCAGGCCAATATCCACTGCCCAAACCATTACAGACTAAGAATTTATAAAAAGCTCCTTTGAAATCATTTTGAGATATAAAAGGTTTGGACTAAGTTTATCTAAAATATCTGAACTACAGACCAGGATTTGGTGGTCTGTCTACTATGAATGACATTTCACTTCTTACCAATTTGTAGATAGATGATTGATTGTGTTGTTTTACATCCCATTCGAGAATTTTTCACTCATATAGAGATGTCGCCATAGACTGGTGAAGGGCTTCAAATTTAGACTTGTACTCGGCACTCGGGGCCATTGAGCACTGAGAGTTCTTTATCGTGCAAATGCCAACCGTGACACGGGACCTCGGTTTTTAAGGTCTCATCTAAAAGATCTGTGACTTTCACTTCTGGTGCTGGGTGCTTGGTGAAGGAACAGTCACAACCTATGTTTACGTCTTAGGTTTGACGTGGTGCGGCACCTGGAAGGTTTTATCATTCAGAGTGCAGTAGTGATTTTTTTAATAATATTCAACTGATTTACATAAAAAATATAAATCTTGTTTTTTAAATAAGACTGCATATTCCAGTTTCTTTTTTTCTTGGGGGGGGGGTGTCAACTTTATATTCTATGGTTTGCTGGGATGTAACTCAATTACAAGGAATATTTTTTTTTTAATTGGCCACTGTTAACATATGTACAGTTTCTACAAAGAAAAAAAAATCATTTTTAGGAACTTTAAAGTTTCACCCCCCCCCCCTTAAAAAAACCCCCACAAAACACAGAGAATTTAGTAATGTTGAGGAATCTATATGTTAAATATGAAGATCTGTGACATCAACCAAGTTACATCAACTGTGACTAGATATACCATATATACTCACCCGTAAGTCATTTGGTTGTACATGTATTTTTTTTCAGATTATTTTGAAGGAATTTCCTATTGACCAACTCATAAGTCAGTGTGGTTTTTTGCCAGATTCTGTTGCCAATTTCATATTCTATTGTATTTACCTGTGTTTCAATGTGTGTTTTGGGGTATGACATTTATATTTGATTGTTAATTAAAAAGTAATCAAATATGAGATCATTCAAATCTGTTAGCACTTTCGTCAACCTTAAATCTTCCTTTCCTGCATTGGATTAAGTTCCGCCCTTTATAAACGATTATCATTGGAGGTTTCACAGAATTACATTATTTCCCCTTTCATAAAAATACCAAATTTTTTAAGTCTAGCTTATAAGTCAGACATAGAGATTTGGACCAAAATTTAACTCCCAAAATTCTGACTTATAGGCAAGGATATATGGTACATTGTTAAAACAGATATTAATTTGAACTTTTCTAGAATATCCAATGACTGAACATAATGTATGGTGTCATGCATTTTTTAATACATGTTAACAATTAACATGAAAGCATGCTCTACATATGCAAATTACTGGAACAACCTTCATATACTGGTATACTGCATTTGAAAAAATACATGATAACATATGTTTACAGCATTTATGTCCATGATGTCATCCAAGTTTAGAACATAATATATATGCAAATTATGACAATTATGAGGCAGCTTAAATGACAGTGAACATTGGTGAATATTACAACATTGTTCAAAATGATGATGAAACATGATATTTAATGAGGACCACAGAGCATGAACTTCAACATGATTCCCCCCCTTTTTTTTTTTTTACAAATGACCAAGTTTGATCCCCATTTCTCTAAAACACAACTTAGTCTAGTTCAGTCTGAGATAACGCCCTGATCCTCCACCTCGGAAGTGTCCGATTTCTCATGCAGAATCACATACTCTCTTGAACTGAAACCAAACTTGATCATATCCTTCTCCATGAGCTCCACAAAACGTTGTGCCTCTATCTGGTTATTGTTCACAAAAGTTCCATTAGCTGAGCCGAGATCAATTATGTAAGGCCGAACTCTCCTACCAGTTGAACCATCACTCCGCGTAAATTCTACCAGTCGGAACTGTAGAACTGCATGCTGTTTGGAACATGAGGGGTGATCAACAGGAATATCTACCACAATACGGTCTCGTCCAATGAGATAGGCACTCTGTCGATGGATATGTAATACAGGGAGAGCTTCATCACCTTTGAATGGATAAAGTCTCCATCTCGTCTTTGGTTTTCTTGCCTCTGGTGGCTGATTATACTTAATAACAACACCCCTGTACACATTAGTATCCTCTGCTAATTTTCCAGATGTGCTGAAATTGGGTTTCTCCTTTTCCACAGGGTTTGTATTGTTTTTATCCCTTGTATCACCTGGTCGACCATACTCGTGTCCATCCTCCCCTGTGTTTCTGAATGGATTATTTGTACCGTGTCTTTGATTTTCCCGCCTGCGGTCATCATTTCGCCTCCTCTCTCTCTGCTGGTCCTCTCTCTGTCTGTGTGCTCTGTCATGTCTGTTCTCTCTCTCTTGCTTCACTCTGACCCTGTCTGTTTGTCTGTCCTCTCTGTAATCTCTGTTCCCTCGCTCTCTCTTGATATGATGTTTATCTCTTGCCAATTCTCTCTCTGCAGATCTTTCTCTATGTCTATCTGCTCCTCTTTTGTCCCTAGGTGGTGTCCATGGTGGCTCTTTTTTAATTTTTGTTTGAGGACTCCCTGATCGTCTCCTTGTTGACTTTAATCTGACAGGGCTCTGAAAATTATCAAAATCATCAAGTAACAAATTAAAGACAGGGAATATTCAATGATTAAAGTTTTGTTTTTTCGTGTACATTTTCTTCATATTTTTTAATCCAATACAAGACAATTACATTCAATGATACATATCTTTCATTTGTACGTTACGCAATACCAAATAACCTAACGTGGCTTTAAAAAAGCAAACATTAAGAAAATAAGAGAGTACTTTCAGTATATATATATATATATATATATATATATATATATATATATATATATATATATTCTTTTTTACCATCTTTGTTTACCTGTACGCTTACGATATTAGTTAAGGGTTATCAATGTTTGCAATGATCAACAGAATTTACCAAACTTCTTGATTTGTGTCGCTTAGGCATTGATCTGCTCAGTCTCCTTTTACTTGTTGAATTCCTCTTCACTTTGGGATGGGATAAATAATGTACCGTGCAGAAGATGAAAAGAAAAAACGAAATTACATAAGATAAAAATTTAACAAAATAACATCAACATTTTGAATACGTCCGAATTTCGTTCCTACCGGAAATGAGATATTAAGACGTACCAGTATTTGTCGACGTTAGTTAAATCAGCAAAATATGAGTCGACCGTAAATCTTCGCTATTTTTACAAATTGTACAACTATTTAATGGAATGAAACACACTCATTCCCTGTATTCATGAGGAGAGAAGCTTTAAGAATTTTGAAATTTTAGTCCCTACAAGGGGACGACCAAATGATCCTGAAAAAAAAAGGGGAGGGGGGGGGGGCAAAATTTTTCGAGCAGATTATTTTTTTTCATGCCAGTCACCACTGAGGACAGATTATTCGTTTTCAACATTTTCGAGGACTGATTATTTATTTCCAAAATCTGCCCCCCCCCAATCAAATGGTCTTCCCCTAAAACCCTGTTCAAAATAGAACTTACGATAAAAAAAAAACAAAAACAAAAACAAAACAAAACAAAAAAAAAACATAAATAATAATATTTCTTCAAGAGATAACAACTGAACTTAAAAATTCAATTTCAATAACATATTTAAATCAAACAATGCAAATTATTCTACATTCAATTAAAAAACTGCTCACAAGTGCATAAAGAAGCAAGATTTATGAGGGATTATTTCTTGTGGTGGAAGGCTATTTAGACGAAAATTAATTCTTGAAATATATGGTGATAACGAACAGTATTCAAGCTCAAAAGTCCATTAAACAATACAAAATAGGAGCAGAGCAAACACGGACCTCCAAAACATCAGAGGTGGGATCAGGTGCCATGGAGGAGTGAGCATCCCCTGCCGACCGGTCACACCCGCCCTGTCCTCCTTGTCATGATCGGGAAATAACGGAAAAATCCTTCGACAATTCAGTGTGTAAATAATGGCCTAACAATAAGTATTAAAAACGTCAGTCAGCATATGACTTAATGATAAATTGATTTTGCTGACAAGGTCATTGTATCGACCATAGAACTTACGAAATGATGACTTTAAACGTGGCTGCTGATATTCTTGTTTCATCAACTTGTTTGTCAATAATTTACCTCGTTTTAGAAATTGTACATACGTAGAGCATGCTCTTGCGTATCGAATCAACTGAGAGATATAAACCCCGTATGCAGGTGATGAAGGTATACTGCTGCATAAGTAAGGGAAGTTGACGATTGAAAAGTTAAAGTCATCACGTTTATAATAAAGCTTGGTTGTTAGATTACCATTAACGTCTTTTTCAAGTAAAATATCCAAATATGAAACAGATGTGTCAGACTCTGTAGTATCTTTTATCTCAAGCTCACTGGGATATATCGTATCGACAGAAGAATGGAAATAACCATTGTTAATTGACAATACGTCGTCGATATATCTAAATGTCGTGTTGAAAGTAACAGCAAGTGTTTTCTTCTTTTCACGTATAAGATTTTCGACAAATTCTGCTTCATATGAATACAAAAAAGTGCTAACTTCAGCTCGTATGTAGTTGAAAATGAAGACCTAAAAGTAATCATCTTGAAATGTCCTAAAATACAGGGAGCCCCGATCTTTCAAATTGTCAATTGGCGACAGATCTTTATTTATATTATGAATTCTGTTGAAGATTATGCCAGGCGTAGGACTAAATATGAAAAGAAAGACCTGGACACTTTGTCAGAATGGATTAAGTGCTTAAGAAATATATTAAAGATTCGTATGAAAAAATTTAAAGGCAACATGCGAACCATCTAATAGATAGATACATACATAGTATCCTCCCGTTTTCACTAAATCGGAGGTGATGCAAGAATTAGTAAGACTACATGAACAATATGTTATATGGTTCCAGCAGACAGGGCTTATAACAATATCATCTTTGTTTGTAAAGCTCATTATTATAACTATATTTTAGAAGAGCTTGGTTCTAATTCTACGTCTGGAAATCAAATTAATACTCGCAGCTCACTTTCTATACATGAGATTCTTCAAATCACATTTCAGTGTTTAATGCTTTTAACATTCCAATCAACCAAAGTGTGTTCGACCTACCCTACCTATAATGGATTCCTAAACTTCATTAAAATCCTTACAAACAAAAATGCATTGCAGGATTTAACAAATGCTCTACCAAGCCCCTATCTTTACTCATTGCAAAAATATTAACTGCTATAAAGGAGAAACTTCAGACGTTCTGTCCTACAGCATATTTTAAAAGTGGTGTAAATCAGATATGGATTCTCAAAAACTCCAAAGAATTTTTAGAAAATTTAAAATCGGCAAATTTTTCAAATGTCAGTAACATCACTTTTCTACACGTGATACAACCATTCCTCACGATAAATTAAAAACTAAGCTTTTTGATATCATAGAAAACTGCTTCTTCAATAAAAACGGAAGTCGGAAATTTTCTTATCTTGTGATTGGTAATCAGCAAAATTACTTTGTTAAAAATCATCCTGCTTCTACACAGAAGTACTCTCAATTTGTTGATATTAAAACGATGCTTGAGTTCCTCATTGACTACATTTATGTAGTCTTCGAAGACTAGGGGCCCGTTTTACAAAGAACTTACGACTAATACTAACAAAAATAGTTGATTTTAAAATTTTGCAGAATTGATGATTTTGTTTGAAATTGCTAGCATAAAAATATATTGTTAAATTCTTTTGAAAAAGATTAAAATCATTTTCAAATAAATGTAAAATAGAAAGCAAAAAGCAGAATAAAATTTTGGTCGTGGTCGTAAGTTCTTTTGTAAAACGGGCCCCAGGTCTATGAATTCCGATGGGCACTAACTGTACATGTGATCCTTTACTAGCCGACCTGTTTTTATATTCCTATGAAGCAGATTTATTTAGAAACTTCTGCATGAGAAGAAGAAAACACGTACCGTGGCCTTCAACTCGACATTCAGATATATCGACGATGTATTACCAATTAACAAGTTACTTCCATTCATATGTCGACTCGATATACTAGAGTATCTCAGTGAACTTAAAATAAAAGACACCACAGAGTCTGCAACATCTGTTTCATATTTGGATGTTTTACTGACTATAAACGATAATGGCCAACTAACAACTAAATTGTATAACAAAGGAGATGATTTCAGCTTTTCCATCTTCAACTTTCCTTATTCATTAAGTAATATTCCGCTTTCACTTGCATATGGTGTTTACATTTCCCAAGTTATTCAATACTCAAGAGCATGCTCCGAGTACAATCAATTTTTAAGGCAGGCTACTGGCAGATAAGTTGATGTTACAGGGATTTCAACAACCTCGTTTTAAGTCAGCATTTCGTAAATTCTATGGTCGTTATAATGACATTGTTAGCAAACATAACCTCTCATTGGGTTCCATTTTGGCTTTTAAGCCTTTGTTTTTATACCAAATTCGACTACGGAATGTTTCGTCTACCTGATCAATACATAGGGCTCACGGCGGGTGTGACCGGTCCACAGAGGTTGCTTACTTCTGCTAGGCATCTGATCCCACCTTTGGAAAATCCAGGGATCCGTGTTTATTCACAGATTTGTATTGTTTATAGATTTTTTGAGATCGATCACTGTTCGTTATCTTCACCTTTTGCACTCATTATTCACAAGCATAGCTACACAGTCCAGAAAACAGTGAATTATTAGAATCATGACTCATTTTATGGCAGGTTACCGGTACTAAAGAACTACGCACGCTAACTCTCGATTCCCGCCTACATTTTGCACCCATTTAATTTAATACTAATGGCGATTTGGCCGTAAAATCAATGCAAAGAACAGTTCAATGGTAATTGATTGATAATTTTAATTCCAGTGTTAAATAGTTAATAAGGGGGGGGGGGGTTAGACGATATTTTTCATTGAAATCGGGCTTTAAAGCATCACCACATTTCAAAATATTTTTGGATATGAATAAATGTTCCTTAAATCTTTTCTTATGTTTTACTCATATAAAATTAAACATATATCATTAATAAAATACAATGTTTTAGTTGTAAACCCCTATAAAATTCGTGAAAAATAAGCATTTTTGTAGTTTTTTGTCTGTAAACATATGCCCCCCCCCCCTCCGTGAAACACAAAAAGCTTTGGTGTGAATTTGTGAAATGACAGTTCATATTACCTGTAAAAAGGAATTTTTGTTTCATGGGGGGGGGGGGGGGGTTGTTCTAAAAATATTTTCCCTTTTCCGTTGATTTCTATAGCGAAAAACACAAGTTTTACCAAAATTATAGAGTCATCTCTCTTTGTTTTCCCAAAGAAGTAATGTTTTATGAAAATTCATATAAATATCTATGTAGATATGAAAAATCATTCAAATGTGTCAACTTTTGAAAATTGACTTGGAGGCAGGCGGGAGAACAATACTATCGTTCGCAGTTCTTACTTACTTGATACACGCACCTGATCCCATATACATCGATTAAAAACATGTGTATCATTAAATTGAATGACCGGAGACATTTCCGACATTTATTAATAAAAAAAATTATCAATGAAATACGATAACAAATTCTGCTAAAGATATTGTTCGCTTAATTATATGACATTCGTTTACAAGCGCACGGATAAATTTATTCCTTTAATCATTACAAATAAAATATCTTCATGACAAAAATATATATGGCACAGCTGAAATATATACAAAATGCATTAAACTTTTAATAATTTACAAAGATAGCTTTCGTTAAAATCTAGAGAATAGTTTAAAATATACTTAAAGTTTGCACAAAGTATTTTAATAAATAAATAAATAAGAAATAATATCCTTTAAAAAATGATGACATGATAGAATGTTGTAAAAAGAAACAAGAATTTTGAACGAATTTTTATATTAATACATAAAGGATAAAAAAAATATAGATTTTACAATTAAATAAAATTTCCAAAAGGGGATATACGAGCACATTGTATATTATATGCAATGCATTAACATCGACTAATAAAGGGTGTGAAAAGATCGTATTCATCAAGACGTTTAAAATTGTATAATTATCGCTTATATTTCTCGCACACAAACTAAAATCTCTGAGGAGACTGTAGCTCTACTAGTTGTACTAAATAATAGTGAAAGAGAAATGTAACACATTATATGGGAGTTAAAATCTCGATGTCTTCCAAACCTGTACTAGTACCTATTTCTACCGAAAGCAAACCAGGAATGTAGAAGTAATTATAGTCCTTTATAAATGTATCTTGCTGAGGTTTACTTGTGTATCAAGTTGATTGAAATTGAACAAAAACTTTGGTGAATTAGCGTTTCGAAAGACTTTCAAGAAAATTTCAATTTATTTAACTGAACCATGGCAACATCATTCATCGACCCAAGATCGATTCATAGAACAGTGTATCGTGCTGTAGTCTAACTTTTACTACGTTTTTTAGATTTCGAACCAAAACTTTAGAAGGAGTTGCATTTTGAAGAGATTTCTCATGTTTATCTTCTTTTTTTTTACTCTGGCAACATTGTTAACCGAAATGAAAAACAACAACAATATTTTAAAAGTAATCTTCGTGTGTAATATGTTATTGTAATCAGGCAAAACTGTAGGAATTTTTTTTTTTTTGGGGGGGGGGGGGGGGGGGTTGATTAAAGAGAATTTCCAAAAAAAAAAAAAAATCAATTTTTAGTAGCAATGGCATCACCGTTCATCGAATTTAAAAACAGATAGATAGAACTGAATAGCTTGACATATTTTTTTTTTGTATACATCGTTAAATTGTACATGTAATGAAATATGTGGAGATAACGAACAGTATTCGAGCTCAAAAATCCATTAAACATTACAATAAAAGAGCAGAGCAAACACGGACCTCTAAAACTTCAGAGGTGGGATCAGGTGCCATGGAGGAGTGAGTATCCCCTGCCGACCGGTCACACCGCCGTGTGCTCCTTGTCATGATAGGGAAATACCGAAAAAATCCGTCGACAATTCAGTGTGTTAATAATGGCCAAACAAATAGTACGAAAAAAGTAAGTCAGCATTTCACTTAATGATATTTGCTGACAAGGTCATTGTAAGGACCATAGAACTTTATGGTCCATATCGACCATGATGACTTTAAACGAGACTGTTGATATTCTTGTTTCATCAACTTGTTTGTCAATAACTTGCCTCGTTTTAGAAAATGTTCATACGTGGAGCATGCTCTGGCGTATCGAATCAACTGAGAGTTATAAACCCCGTATGCAGATGATAAGGGTATATTGCTGCATAGGTAAGGGAAGTAATTAAAACTAAAAACTATAGGAGGAGAAATGTTTAAAAAGAACTTCAAAGAGGATTCTTTTTTAGTTATAATGGCAGCACAGAGTTATGAACTATAGTGTAATCTACTTGTGTACTAAAATTTATTGAAATCGAACAAATTGTATGATAAGAACATGCAATATTTTGAACGAATTTCAAGTGCTGTTCTAATTTTAATAATTATAGCAACTACGTTTATTGAAATTAATAGATAACATATAGAGGTGAGTATATTGATGTAGTCTATTTGTGTAAGGAGAACCAGCGTTTTGAAAAATAAATTATAAAAGAAATTTTGTGTTTAAGTATCCTTGGCAAAACGCAAGTGCGATATAAAGGAATCTGTTTTCATCCTTCTTGTCAATCAAGTTTACTTGTAATTAATCCAAAACATTAGGAATGTAACGTTTTGAAGATTTTCAAAGATAATTTTATCTTTATTCATCATAGCAACCGCTATCAAAATCTGAAAAAAGTTCAATTCAATTCGGAAAAAAAAACTATAGGAGGAGAGGCACGTTCAAAAGTTATTTACAGATAAACACACAAACAGATAGACGGACGACAGAAACTGTACCATCGCATAGAAGCTCTCCTATCAGAAGAGGGAGAAAAACTTACATCCAAGGCAAACATAAAGGTTTAGTGGAATGATTCTGAAATTGTTAAGGAAATGGTGTGTATATTGTGTAAATGCATGATTATTAAGTCCATTTCTGAAACTGGTCGATTCACGGGAACAATCGCTTCATATATCCTGTTAAGAAAACAGTCCCATTATATACCACTGTCGTAAAACAGTTTAAATAAATATATCTTTTCGTACAATACTGAACATAAAGCCTCATTACGCAAAACTTGCCCTATACTTCAATCATTCCCTGAAGAAATTCTCACAGAATTCCTCAACATTCAAATCTTTTCTGACGGTGTCATGATGTGTCCAATATACCATAACTGCAAATAGCACGTTTTGACGCAAAATCTGTCACTAGAATAAATAATATTGACCGTCTTTCCAAGGTGGCTGTCTGAACGCTGAACATCCTACTTTAATATCACATTGCCAATTCTACAAACCAACTTCATCTCCAGTGTGGCCAAAGGTTTCAATGAACCCGATAACAAGGCTTTATATTGTTCAAAAATGTCAAAAATGCATTCTGAACGATATTTGAAAAAATCAATTTTGATATATGAATTTCACTTCAACTATAATGGTTATACTTGAGCTTCGCACAGATTAATGTACAAGTCACTGTCGTACGAAACCGTGGCCGTAGATTCTTTTTCCTGGCTTGGCGGATCAAACAGTTCGATTTTGACATTATCTATATTTTTCTTAAGTTTTCTGCTTTCAGATTTTGAATGACAACTGTCGGAGCTCGATTTTCCCGTGTGACTAGACTGCACACTGTCTGAGGGAAAATCTGCAATGTTAGGTTTTCTTGGATCCGCCTCTCCTTTGTCTTGTATACCGCTGTCATTGTGTTTAGAAGCAACAGAGCCATGTGAAACTTCATTAAAATCGAGTCTTAAACCCTCTTTTTCCTCTGTTATTTTTGACAAAACAATTTGTTTAGGTTTTTCTTTCTCCTTTTGATGAATAAAACACTGCATTTGAAACTTTCCAGCCTCTTTGTTGGTATGTTTAAGTCGCGCAGGAGACACAATAAACTGTACGTTGTTAAGAGGTTTGGTGACCATGGCATCGGTCAAATCAAGGTCCAAGAGAGCGGCAGCTTCTGTGCTATTTTTGCTGCACGTATTCTTCGCCATTTGCCTGACCTCTGAATTCGATTTATGTTTCTCAAATGCTGGCATGAGGAAAAACAAAAGTCCTGCTAGCACCATCGCAACACCGGCAAAAATAAACCCAGCATGTTCATTCTCATGATTACTGTTCAGATATACTGCAAGAAAAACCATATCTTAAATGACACATTACCTTTATATAGTCGTGGGTAAAACTTTTCTTGCATTTTGAGCAATATTACAACTTATTGATTGCACAATAATTTAATCTCTAAGCTTTGTTTTCATTGTACAATATGAGTTAGCCCTTACCAAAAAAATACTATAGTTAAATATAGTTTACTATAGTAAATTATAGTAAATCAAAGTTTTTACTATAGTAAATGAAAGCATTTTTACAATAAAATTCAAATGATATTTTATAATTCTCAAATAAAATTTTTTGTTATAGAAAGGATAGGTACGGAAATTTTAATGTTTTAAATATCAAAAAATATTTTAAAGTAAAGTTTCATAGTAATTCAAATTTTCAGTTTAAAACTATAATAAGCTATTGTTAACTAGTATTTTATGTAAGGGCTAATAGTGAAAAACTTGGGACTGTTCACAGGATCTTTTAAGGATAAAACTGAACCAGGAGTTAAAGAAAGGTAAATTAATCAGTACAAATGTATAGTATACATTTAGCATTTTAAGTTCTATATGTATAAGAAAATCTCAAAACTGGTTCCGTCTACATGGATAAAAACCTGATGGCAACTTTGTTGACTGAACATTATACACACATATAGTACACTAGTTAGATAATAAGAGAAGATAAAAACTAAAAATAATTGGACACTTACATGATATTGGTGATCCAATGAGAATTGGTAAAAATTGAGCAGCACACACAAATCCCCAGGCCCTCTCCATAATTTTAAACTTCACAATTTCATAAGTGTACATTTTAAGAGTGTAAAAATATCCCCCACAAAAAATGCCGAATCCCCAAGCATACAGTGCAAAGGAATTGTAGTCTTTTTCCAGCAACAACAGAAGCGTCAAAACACCACAAGCCAAACAGTTCGCTTGACAGAGGCAACGCCGGCAGATGGAGCAGCTTTTGCTGTCTTTGATAATGATATAACCTTGAGCAACGACCCCAAGAACAAAACCAAGGCCCAGGTAGACAATAATTAGAAGCAGGTCTACTTCCGCCATTTTGCGATCGTATCCAATTTTAATCTGAAATGGAAAATTGTATATCAAAAATATTTTATGTGTGTGTTCCTCTGTACAGTCACGGTGAGTAAAAATGGGAGCCATCAGAAAACACAATTTCTGCAATTTTATTGATTATAATTTCTCTGAGATTTTTGTTATTACTCAAACAATAAATTAAAATAAATGTTTTTGTTGTGTTGACGGAAGATAAACGTTGTATTAGTGCACAAAAAAATTATGCATTACCCGCATTAGTTGGTTATGTATTTTTTTTCTGCAATGATTACCACTGTCATACCTCGTATAAGAGAGACATTTTGTCATTTATATTTTTAAATTTTTATATTAATATTTTTTTTACGGATTTTCCCGTTTACCCGATCATGACAAGGAGTACACGGCATGTGTCACCGGTCGGCAAGGATACTTACTCCTCTCTGGCACCTGATCCAAACTCAAGCTGTTTTCAGAGGCCCGTGTTGGCTTTACTCATAATTTGTATTGTTTAGATGGACTTTTGAGAATGATCAGCGTTCGTTATCTTCACATTTCATTCATATAAAGTGAGGGAAAGTATTAAGTTGTGTTATTAATCCGTACATCACACACATACATAGATGGAAAAGCCTTAAGACAGTTGACCTTTGACACTTCCATATATGGAGTAACATATCTAGATGGCTAAAAACCCAGATCTCTCTTGTTTAGAAATCAGTCACTGTTAGAGCATCTGATAACAGCAATGATTAAGTTTTCAGAAGAAAATATATTCTGCGGACATAAATATACAGTAATATAAACATATTAATTTCAACTACTTGTGATGGTAAAATTATATTATTAAATTTAACAAAATATAAAAGTTCGAACAAAAACTAAAAATGAAAATTAATTGATGCCTGCGATTGTAAAATTTACTTATTATTCTCTATAAACCGGTTTGATTAATATCCAGGCGTTGGGTTTCTGCATTTGGTTACTCAAAAATTAAGCTAGCATTATAAATGAGCCAGCTATAGACACAAAACTTGAATACTGAGTCGGGATGAGGTTTCTTTGATCAACATGCTGGGGACACTGAACTAGATTGGTACATTCAGATACACCCTGAAATAACTTCATAGTACCTGAAGTACTTACTTGAAATTACTTGTATATTTCCAAATGATCGAATATACAGTTTCAACTTTGTATATAATTTGAGTTTTGCATTTTTTAAATACGGACGAATGAAACTTGGAAGATGGTTTTACCAAGATGATGAATGGCACAAAAATCCCAAAGGCAGCTATACCGGAAATGATCATGAGAGCTTGTAAACCACGCATGCGCAGAGCACTAAAATCAAAATATGACGGTTCCACCTCTTCCTGGTCTCTTCTGCCCTTTTTCTGGCTTTTGATATGCATGATCATTTTCCGGCGAGGGTGGTACATGGACGCGGGGCGATACAATGCACCCGCTACAATAGTTAGAATGAAGATGCCAACTGAACACTGCATGGTTTTCATCCAAACCATAGACCTGTAAATTTAAGGATAAAAATCAGTTGATGACCTTTTCATTCAAAGACAAATATTATATTATTTAAACAGTCTATTTTTTCTATCAATTTGCATATTAAGAAAATTCGTTCCCTCTTAAAAAAGCAAATTTCTAAAATTAACATCGACAATTACATGATCAGTTTTGTGATTCATAATAATTAGACAACCCTACATCTGGGAATAGCAATTAAGTACATGTATGTCTAGATCTGACATTGAACGATTAAAGAAATAATTAAAAAAAAAAAACTGCATACGCAGCAAAAGACAGTGTGACGTTTTCATCCATATTTGTGAGAAGCTCAAAATGTATAATCAGTATTATCTTTCTGGTTTACATACATAGCATTTTAGTATACCGTTCATTAACTTTACTCAGATTTTTATCCTCCTTGTATATTTTTCAAGCATTAAACAATGCATTGTAAGCACTTTAAATCTACATTTGCATACATAACACCGTACATACCATGTTATTAGATACAACATTTATGATCTTTATGTCCAAATTCAGAAAAGTTGTTTGAATCTTAAATACTTTTGTCTCGAAAAATTGGGGGGAAATTTAAAATGCTTGATACACATAAAGAGCGTTTTATTTCAGAGAATAAAGGTGTATTAACTAAAAAAAAATATCACTATGAAATGTATCATTTAATATAAGATATTTTGAAACATAAAAGGACCAAGAAAACCTCAGAAAACTCGTGTCACAAACGGTATGAATTAAAAATTGTATCTTTGTTGGACAAATATAATCTTAGCCAATATATTTCATCAATTCACATCACAGAAGAAAAATATTTTTAAAAAAATATGTATTAAAACAGTTACCAGATTAGTGCTAATGGATTGTATTGATGTACATCTGTTAAAATATTTCCTACATAAAGAAGGTAAAATAACTATTTTTTATAGTCTGAAAATATTCACGGGTATCAAAGCTATATACCCTGAGTATAGTATATACGTATACATATCAGGGAAAGCTCAAACCTGCGACAGGAACTATTCCCCTAGGGCTTGTCCGAGGGGAATAGTTCCTGTGAAGGGTTGTCGAAAGAGCTATCCCACTCACATCCAGTGGATAAGCGTTTTATTATACTGATGTATATTATAATATCTGAGGACTGGATAGGACATTTTATTACGAGTATACATGTACTTCTGTTAAAATGTTTCCCATTTCTTCTTAAGTTTTAGATAAAAATAACTATTTTTAATAGTCTGAAAATTTTCAAGTATAGCAAAGATATACCCCTGGGTAAACTAGTAGTTTGTTCTATGCAACTCTCAGAAAATTTTGAATTCATTTAGCATTTGACGCCAGTTTTGAATTTCTGCAATATGATTGGTTGGCGACTTCTCCAACTATACCCCAGAGTATTGTGCTATCCAACCCTGAGAAATTATAATAATTTATAATATACAACAATATACATGATATAAGAAAAGACTTATCAACTGGTTGTGAGTGGGAAAACTCTTTCATCAAACCTTTGACAAGCATTATTCCCTTCGGGTAAGTCATTCGCGAGGAGCTATCCCAATCACAGCTGTGGGATAATCGTGTATTATACCTTTATGGAACTCCTCAGTGTTGGAGAAGTTGCCAACCAATCATATTGCAGGAAATCAAAATTGGCGGCAATATAATGAATTTTTTTTTGAGGGATGGTTAGTATACACTTATCTATGGGCTGTGAATGGAACAGCTCTTTTAACGAGCCTTCGACATGAACTATTCCCCGAGGGCTTGTCCTGAGTGGAGACAATAGCACTGGGTGGTGGATAGCGCACACTAGTGCTATACCCTGGGGTACGTGAGGATTTTCAGACTATAATAAATATTTATTTTACTTTTTTAACTTATAAGAAACGTTTTAACAGAAGTATAATAATTTGTGTTATTGACTGCCATCACCTACACAGCTAATCCTCCTTTAACTGAATTTGGGCTTTTAATATATTTTCAATTTTTATAGAAACGAAGTCGAACTCTCTTAACACCCTCTCCATGTTACATGTCAATGTCAATAAATATTCAAACTATAGATTACTCTGGGTAAGAGACCTGTTTTATTTCTTTTTCAATATTTGTCGTTAAAATTGGATTACAGTAAATATAGAAGAATCACAAACAACAACAACAAAAATAAATAAATTTAAAAAAAAAACCCTTTTCATTTCAATACACTTGCAATAATACTGCCCCCTTAAACAAAGACTGATTCAATCTATCACACACTGCATAAACTCTTGCTGCTGATGTTCTGATAGAAAATGCCTAATCAATGACTGTTTACGCGGCCAGCTGTATTAATAATGATGGTTATAACACAATAAGGGTTTATCGTGACATCGAATGCCGCGCTGGATATATATAGATATCGATTAGTTGCCATAAAAACACCACTGTATGTCTGCAAGACCTCAAAATAAACTGAATTTCATCCATTTAATATTCAGCACAGCCGTGTATGTGGAAAAGACAGTTTGTGAAAGCAGTATTAATTGGTTTGTTCTCCTTTTTTAAAAAAGTAGGTTTTATTGATTTTTTTCTCTCTCCAGTATAGAACCGACGGAGGCCTTGTTGATGAGTCTGACACACAATAACGGCACGTCTTCTGACTGCTGAAGTATCACAGCACATTATTACTCTAATCAAATATTTCATTTCTTTCACGAAAACAAAATGCTTTTTACTAGTTATTTTGTCTCCTAACCATGTTTCAGAAGAATATATAATATATATATGCATATAATTACATGTACACACAAACGTAACTTTCAGTAATTATTTGGGAAGAGTACCTACTGACCGCTTAACGCGCTTGCCTGCTGTTAATCTTTTTTTTTCATTTTTAGCTCTACTGGTCAGAGACCAGAAGAGCTTATGCGATAGTAAGGTGTCCGTCGTCCGTCTGTCTGTCTAATCCTCCTACAGTTTTGGTCTGATTTCAATAATAACTTGGCACACAAGTAGACTATACTAAGATACATACTTCTGTGTATCGGTTTTTGATTTTAATGAACAGTGTTGCCATGGTTACTAAAAATAGAAATTTCCTTGAAATACTTTCAAAACGCTACTCCTCCTACAGTTTTGATCTCATTTCAGTATAACTTGGCACAAAAGTAGACTACACAAAGATTCATAATTCTATTTATCGGTTTTAGATTTCGATGAATGGTGTTGCCATGGTTACTAAAAATAGAAATTTCCTTGAAATACTTTCAAAATGCTACTCCTCCTACAGGTTTGGTCTGGATTTAGTATAACTTGACACACAAGTAGACTACTCTAAGATATATAGTTCTCTGTACCAGTTTTGGATTTTGATGAACGGTGTTGCCATGGTTACTAAAAATAGAAATTTTTTGAAATACTTTCAAAAAGCTACTCCTCCTACATGTTTTATCTTATTTCAATATAACTTGGCATACAAGTAGACTACACTGAGATACATAATTGTCATTATTGCTTTTTGATTTTGTTGAATGATGTTGCCATGGTTACTTAAATCGAAATTTCTGTAAAATTATTTTAAAAGGCTACTCCTCCTACAGTTTTATTCTGATTGCAATAAATCTTGCCACAAAAACAGACTAAACCAATGATCATTATTCTATTTATTGCTGTTGCAAAGTTTCAAATCCAAGTGTTACTTTTATCTTCCTTTATAAGTACAACCAGTAGAGCTACAGTCTCATCAGAGACTTCTGGTTTGAATAGCAATTAAATCAAAAATAAAATATCTTTTAAAAGACAACAAATACTTACGAAATATCATAACTTTAGTAATGATATTTGAATAATGATATTTACGTCACCTCTTAAATCTCAAGAAATGCATGGCCGTTTATTAGCTTTTAAAGGCAGGGTAAAAACCTTCACAGGTGTATCAGATAAGTTCTTTCAAATATTAATGGAGAAGATGGAAACTAAAAAGACCCTTTTTTTCAGATGTATTTATATGTAGTTTAAAAATGATTTACTTCAGAGCTACACAATAGATATTTTCTATTTGTTTGTTTTTCAAGGGGTCTGAATACATTAAGGAAAGTCTGAATTTTTTTTCAAACGTGCATTGGTGAGTTGTGTAAACCTATAGGGTTTAGCACAGACATATTATTTGAACATTTTAAACTTAGACAATATTAATATCATAATCATTTTTAGTTATTAGTAGTGAAAGTAAAATGAAATAAAAGTTTATTAAATCAGAATGTATATTATTAGTACCTCAAATTCGGTGACTTTATAATTGGAAAAAGGACTTTAATTTTATGAACTATTATTATCTTGTTAAAACAAATTTCTATGACTATTCTATGACTCTATTCTTTGACTAGTTTGGAATACTTTTTGGACTCTAATTTATTTGGACTTCACCTTAATTATTACTTTTGGAGTTTTAGTTCTACGCTCTTCGGGAATCTTTGGGATGGATCTTTAAAACTTTTGCTACAACTAGAGTATTGGTCTATTCTGGTGAAATTTCAGAAACAAGCATTTAAAAATCTATACGATCACGGTTGTTTAATAAACTTTTCAAAAAACTTACAAATCTTGTTATTGGCTTACAGTTGTAGTGTTTACCTATTAAGTCCGTATATAACAAGAGCCATTACAACAGCCCCAGCACCAGTGCCACATGTCATGATCATCTCCGCGAGTTCCCGCCTCTGAAGAAAGTATCGCCCCACGATAATGCTGGCGGCACTGAGGGAAATTCCCGTCCCCACAGACAGGATCCCACAGTAGATGATAAACAGCTGATCGACCTTGTTGGAGAATGACAAAAGAAGCACCCCCAAGGAACAAATCACACCCCCTACAACTGCACAGGATCGGGTACTTTTCCTCTGGCATACGGTTACTACTGCAGGGGTAAGAAGAAGCGAGATGCTCAGCCCAGCTGTTCCTAACCATACTGAAAAAAGAAACAATCTTTTTATTTATTGATTGTTACTGTTTAATTGACGAGTCGGCAATATTTCAACCATATTTTCGCGGAACAAGATACAATGAAAAGTTAATTGGATGGTTAATTAAAACGTTGTTTCACGACACATGTACTTGAAGTTTTAAATATTTTCCTGATAATTAAAAAATCCATACTATAATAATAATAATTTCATTATTGTATAATTGTATGGCATTTTTTTAAATTATAGGATACATGTATGTGTAAAACTTCAAGTACCTGTGTTTCACTCCGCAGCAAGAAATGTTCCTTTACCTCCAGAGGTCACCAGTTTTTGCTAAGTGCAAATATTAAGACATGATCCAAAAGAAGTTTGACTTAATTGGCAAATTTATTTTTACTTCCTATACATGTTCATTATAGACATACTTAGTTCGGACTTACTCATCAATAGTTAGCCACCTTCCCGGATCGCCGTGATGCTCAAAATATATAGGTAAAAAAAGTCGTCAAACTTTATTTACTTTGTATATTTTCTATTTATTAATAAAGAAATCCCAAGAGGACGCTTTCTTGTGAATTATGTATTTCTATTGCTTTTTGCAGACACTTAATGGTATCACACCGGTAATTGTTTTCACTATGTAATTCTATATAGAATAAAAAATCATTAAAAATCAGGTATTCGAATTCATGAAAAAATATTTAGCAGGAAGTGTTAAACGTTACCAGTCACATCAGCTGACACCAAAAAATAGGGTACCTACACGGCATTTTCTGATTTTTTCCATCCGCAAACAGGAATACCCTCAAAACCACGTGTATTCAATGTGTTTATAAACATCCTGTGTGCACCCCAGGAAGTGGCCTCCTATGCCCCGAAAGAAATAGTTCCTGTCAAAAACCTTTAATATTTTACAAAGTACATAAAATATCCTAAGCACAGATACCAAAAATGTAAAAATAGAATAAGGGAAATTAAAAAAAATTCTCACAATAAAAAAATATTTCTTTATTATGTATGGAACTACAATTGACTAAGTTCATTTTGATTGGTCAATTACCGGTGTGATACCTTGAAGGACCTTTGAAGTTGTCAGATTTTTTTCATTTTTGCACCTGAGATTTCTTAAATAACTGTCACTAACATCCTGAAGTCTGGGGATCTAATTCCCATTATTGCTGGAGATATGATGCATTTATCTCCCTTACTCCAGAGCTGTCAAGAATACACACTGAGCACTCTGACAGAAGTTTTTTGGTGCATATTTTGAAGCAGAATTTCATCCTTAATAGACTAAGCCTGGCAACCAATTTTGTATCCGTGGAGAGTATATGCATTGTTCTTCACAACAAACAAAAAATAATTCACAAGTCGGAGACCATTATGCAATTATTACATAACAAAATTGCATTTTACCCTCCTAAGAATGACAAAATTTACAGAAATTGTTAAATATTAGGCTGATAATAAAATCTGCATCTGGTCAATTTATGTTCCAAATAAAGCCTAGGTACTTGTCTACAACCTGCTATGCAGAAGTTTATCTAAAAGCTGTGTTGTAACACAGGGCAGTCCAAATGATATCAGCATCTGGGGAGGTTCTAGACAGCTCTGACACTCCATTAAACTTGCTTTGATGATAAGAAAATGGAGAAAACAATTCAGATGTAATTTATTGTTGTGATTTATGTAACTGGCTTTCTCTGCAGACACAAATTAGCCATGAAATTCCAATTGAACATGCATAATTATCCTCTTTTCATTGAATTACTCAGGAATTTCAAAGGTGTTTGATGAATTTGCATGATTAATTCAAGATTACAGCTTTTTGTTTCACCAAATTTACACAAAAATTCAACAATTAAATTTAAAAATATAAATCTTAAACATTTTTATGGGTCTTAACACTTTTAAATGTGAATAAATGCAACAAAGAAACTAATATCAGGCCATCCTCCATGATTCTTGGAGGTGGGTGGGTGTACAAAAAATGCTGATAAAATTTATAGGAAGTGACAAAAGAAGAGCATGGCACTTTATTAGCTGAATTATGGCTATTCTGATATTTTGATTGTGTAAATATGTCAAATTTCTTCATCACTTTAATTTGTAATTTATTAATATTTCAGTACATTAATGTGTTTAACAAATCATGCTAAAATAAACATCCTGACTGAGACTTAATTTAAAAGAGAGGGTCAACACCTACATAAAAGTGGTAAAATGACAAAAAACATTCTCCGGCAAACTGAAAAATCTTGAATGTCAGCTGTGAAAGCATGGAAAAAGTCTAGAGAACCATAACAGGCATACCATGGTGCTAAGTGACATTCTGTACTATATGTGTGATGCATGGTTGGGACTCAAAATAAGTATTCACTCTCATGCCCTGACAGTATTTATGCATTTTTGGTCATAAGCTTCTTATTTTTGAAAAATTCTTAATAAATTTTATTTGTGCATTACTTTTGTTAGACAAATTTAACTCATTTCATTATTTCTATTCCTCCACTCCAGTAATAAATGAATCACTTAAGGTGAATAAAATGAAAGTAAACCCAGTCTCTGTAAAATTTAACACTTTTTAAAATCATGTTTTACTTCTTCACATTTTATCGCAGTTGTCGCTTTTGTTGAAAACTCATTCGCAAACCCAGAATTAGTCTTTTCTTGAAAAAATCAGCCTAAAGTGCTTTTACGGCAAAGTCTGTAGACACTATAATTGACTGCGGTCAGGTGGTGCACAGAGTTTAAAGTCATATAAAATAAAAAACCAACATTTTCTAACTTCTTTCTACATGTCAGATGCATAATCCTCCTTTGAAAGTCATAATTTGGAGTTTTGAGGTTAAAACATGACATATTATTAGTATTTTACATAGAAATCTGTATAAATTAATGTCAACCCTGCTTCTAAATTTAAAAATATGTGCTTTCACACAGAAAGTTCATAAAATGACATATTTTGTTGAAATATGCCTTTATAAAATTAAAACTGCTTTTAATATGGGTGTAGATGATTTTACACAATCACCTTCAAGGTATCACACCGGTAATTGTTTTCACTATGTAATTCTATATAGAATAAAAAATCATTAAAAATCAGGTATTCGAATTCATGAAAAAATATTTAGCAGGAAGTGTTAAACGTTACCAGTCACATCAGCTGACACCAAAAAATAGGGTACCTACACGGCATTTTCTGATTTTTTCCATCCGCAAACAGGAATACCCTCAAAACCACGTGTATTCAATGTGTTTATAAACATCCTGTGTGCACCCCAGGAAGTGGCCTCCTATGCCCCGAAAGAAATAGTTCCTGTCAAAAACCTTTAATATTTTACAAAGTACATAAAATATCCTAAGCACAGATACCAAAAATGTAAAAATAGAATAAGGGAAATTAAAAAAAATTCTCACAATAAAAAAATATTTCTTTATTATGTATGGAACTACAATTGACTAAGTTCATTTTGATTGGTCAATTACCGGTGTGATACCTTGAAGGACCTTTGAAGTTGTCAGATTTTTTTCATTTTTGCACCTGAGATTTCTTAAATAACTGTCACTAACATCCTGAAGTCTGGGGATCTAATTCCCATTATTGCTGGAGATATGATGCATTTATCTCCCTTACTCCAGAGCTGTCAAGAATACACACTGAGCACTCTGACAGAAGTTTTTTGGTGCATATTTTGAAGCAGAATTTCATCCTTAATAGACTAAGCCTGGCAACCAATTTTGTATCCGTGGAGAGTATATGCATTGTTCTTCACAACAAACAAAAAATAATTCACAAGTCGGAGACCATTATGCAATTATTACATAACAAAATTGCATTTTACCCTCCTAAGAATGACAAAATTTACAGAAATTGTTAAATATTAGGCTGATAATAAAATCTGCATCTGGTCAATTTATGTTCCAAATAAAGCCTAGGTACTTGTCTACAACCTGCTATGCAGAAGTTTATCTAAAAGCTGTGTTGTAACACAGGGCAGTCCAAATGATATCAGCATCTGGGGAGGTTCTAGACAGCTCTGACACTCCATTAAACTTGCTTTGATGATAAGAAAATGGAGAAAACAATTCAGATGTAATTTATTGTTGTGATTTATGTAACTGGCTTTCTCTGCAGACACAAATTAGCCATGAAATTCCAATTGAACATGCATAATTATCCTCTTTTCATTGAATTACTCAGGAATTTCAAAGGTGTTTGATGAATTTGCATGATTAATTCAAGATTACAGCTTTTTGTTTCACCAAATTTACACAAAAATTCAACAATTAAATTTAAAAATATAAATCTTAAACATTTTTATGGGTCTTAACACTTTTAAATGTGAATAAATGCAACAAAGAAACTAATATCAGGCCATCCTCCATGATTCTTGGAGGTGGGTGGGTGTACAAAAAATGCTGATAAAATTTATAGGAAGTGACAAAAGAAGAGCATGGCACTTTATTAGCTGAATTATGGCTATTCTGATATTTTGATTGTGTAAATATGTCAAATTTCTTCATCACTTTAATTTGTAATTTATTAATATTTCAGTACATTAATGTGTTTAACAAATCATGCTAAAATAAACATCCTGACTGAGACTTAATTTAAAAGAGAGGGTCAACACCTACATAAAAGTGGTAAAATGACAAAAAACATTCTCCGGCAAACTGAAAAATCTTGAATGTCAGCTGTGAAAGCATGGAAAAAGTCTAGAGAACCATAACAGGCATACCATGGTGCTAAGTGACATTCTGTACTATATGTGTGATGCATGGTTGGGACTCAAAATAAGTATTCACTCTCATGCCCTGACAGTATTTATGCATTTTTGGTCATAAGCTTCTTATTTTTGAAAAATTCTTAATAAATTTTATTTGTGCATTACTTTTGTTAGACAAATTTAACTCATTTCATTATTTCTATTCCTCCACTCCAGTAATAAATGAATCACTTAAGGTGAATAAAATGAAAGTAAACCCAGTCTCTGTAAAATTTAACACTTTTTAAAATCATGTTTTACTTCTTCACATTTTATCGCAGTTGTCGCTTTTGTTGAAAACTCATTCGCAAACCCAGAATTAGTCTTTTCTTGAAAAAATCAGCCTAAAGTGCTTTTACGGCAAAGTCTGTAGACACTATAATTGACTGCGGTCAGGTGGTGCACAGAGTTTAAAGTCATATAAAATAAAAAACCAACATTTTCTAACTTCTTTCTACATGTCAGATGCATAATCCTCCTTTGAAAGTCATAATTTGGAGTTTTGAGGTTAAAACATGACATATTATTAGTATTTTACATAGAAATCTGTATAAATTAATGTCAACCCTGCTTCTAAATTTAAAAATATGTGCTTTCACACAGAAAGTTCATAAAATGACATATTTTGTTGAAATATGCCTTTATAAAATTAAAACTGCTTTTAATATGGGTGTAGATGATTTTACACAATCACCTTCAAGGTATCACACCGGTAATTGTTTTCACTATGTAATTCTATATAGAATAAAAAATCATTAAAAATCAGGTATTCGAATTCATGAAAAAATATTTAGCAGGAAGTGTTAAACGTTACCAGTCACATCAGCTGACACCAAAAAATAGGGTACCTACACGGCATTTTCTGATTTTTTCCATCCGCAAACAGGAATACCCTCAAAACCACGTGTATTCAATGTGTTTATAAACATCCTGTGTGCACCCCAGGAAGTGGCCTCCTATGCCCCGAAAGAAATAGTTCCTGTCAAAAACCTTTAATATTTTACAAAGTACATAAAATATCCTAAGCACAGATACCAAAAATGTAAAAATAGAATAAGGGAAATTAAAAAAAATTCTCACAATAAAAAAATATTTCTTTATTATGTATGGAACTACAATTGACTAAGTTCATTTTGATTGGTCAATTACCGGTGTGATACCTTGAATCTGCTACGGCACAAGGGTTTCATTTCACATCATGATAATTGTACAAAGTAACTTGAGATAATGGCGGAATGCGAACGTCCATTTCAATTACTTCTACCCTTTTCATGACCTTGGCGTACTTGAGATGAATTGGTGGCGATGTAGTCGATATCGGATAAAGTGGAATACTGTATTTAATTCGTATCAAGTTCCTTATCTAGCTAAACGGAGTAAATTTGAAATATTATATAGTACAAATATGACGTCATCAACATGGCTTCCTTGACTGTTAAATCAAATTATCGTAAAAAATAAGATGCTGCTTAATAAAATAACTTGGACAATATGCAGTCTGAGATCTATACTTTTCCATGTAAATATAATGGCTTAATTAAGATTGACAAATCAAAAAATATGTAACAGGAAATGAAGTTTTTTTATTATGGATAAGAATTTTCTCATCGAGGAAAATTCACACACCGACATTTTTTAGAAGCCTACCTATGTGCATGTCGGTCATTTTTATCTTCTTCTCCTTCTGTATGCTCAGATAAAAGATTCCAAAGGCGTAATGAATGCCGTTACACAGGACATACACCAAAGTGGCGGCCACAGTTATCACCCAACCCCAACCCCCATCAGGAAAATGTTCCCCAAAGTCAATGCGTGTCTTTGGTTTTTGATCCGCCACACATGAACCGTCCTTGTCTTTTTTGATGTCCGAGTTATTCTTGGAGAACGTCATACTGCTGTCATTATTGTCGCAGACTTCAGAATGAATCGCTGATAAGTCCGGGTTCGGCTGAATGGAATAGGCTTGGTTTCGGCTGCTACACGAACCGTTGTCTATGTTTTGGTCGACAACAGCCTGGTAATAGTCGGTCGATGGCATCTCACACTGTTTTGTTTACGATGCGTAAATTACACATCCTCGTCGTGTCGTTCTGTCTTTAAACCGCTCACGAAAATCCATTATTCACAACGAAATATCGCAATAAGATTTAAGTTTTATTATTACAGTTAGAATGAATATGCTAAGACACATTTATTAATCCCTGCTATTTGCACGTAAAAGTAAAAATTGACATCCTTTGCATTTTGTGTTTACTGCTAATCAATTCACGATCAATAACTGGCAAAATGCATGCGCAATCTTAAAATGGAACACTTTTTAACAAAGAAGATTCAGCAGCGACACAAAACATTAAATTTCAGTTCACAGTACCGTGCGTTTCCATGGATCGATGACGCATGCAGACCCAGATTCTCGTGAGCTGCTGACGTCATGGTGTCGCCAGAACGAGGGAGACAGTCTGCCATAATCACTCATCTAATTGTGTTCTCCTGGTGTCACTACAGACGACATTATAGTAAATTATTACAACTGTTACACGTTGAAGCTGCTGCAGCTGACTGCCACGAGGTCGTCCAATCGTGGCTAATTAGATACGAAGAAAGAAATCAAGTGTACTTATATTGTGTTGTCTCTATCATGCATAAGCCCAGTTCTATTTCGCTTTACCGTTTCCCTAGTGACGGAGCACTCTATCGTCTTTTTCTATTGGCATTTTGTTTTCAGTTCTAGATTTACGTCATATCGACTGAAACATGCTACTTTACATGTAGTACATGACGTTCTGTTGGATGTTTTGGTCAATGAATTAATTGATAAGTCAATGTGTTTTATTCTTTGTCTTTAAGGCATGTTCATTGTAATTATCTCTTGCAAAATATTCAAAATATTTCTATACACTCGTTCAGTACAAATATCATAAACTGAAAGGTGTGTGAATGATGTATATATTAAATGAGTATGTTCAGGTGTCATTCATGAAAAGTAGAAATGAGTATCAATGATGACTAACAAAAAGCAAATTATGTGATATACTCTTTTTCGTGTATATCATGCTATATCTTTAGGAATTCTCAACATATAAACAATAAAAACAAGATGTGTTTGTATAACACCGATGCCCCCGTTCGGCAGCTCATGACTAAGATTAAAGTTTCTCAAATGCAAGCCAAACTTCATAGGTCAAACAAAATCAAATTGTTGGTACCCAAGGGAAGGTCTTGTCTCAAGAAATACACCTGTGAAATATGAAAACACTAGCACCAACCGTTCGAAAGTTATGGCCAAGATTAAAGTTTTTCAAATGTATGTCAGACTCAAACATCAAGATCAGAGGTCAAAATTGTTGGTACTCAAATGAAGGTCTTTGCACAGAGATTACACCTGTGAAATATAGATGCCCTAGTACCAACCGTTCGAAAGATATGACCAAAAGTGTAAAGTTTTTCAAAAGTGGGTCAAACTACAAGATCAAGGTCAGAGGGTAAAATTTTGGTACCCAAGGGGAGATCTCGTCATGTGTAATATGAAAGCCAAAGCTCTAATTATTCAAAACTTATTGCAAAGGTTAAATTTTTGTGAAGTAGGTCAAACTCCAAGGTCAAAGAGGTCAAAAATATTTTTACCAAAGGAAATGTCTTATCACAAAGAATACACAAGTGAAGTATGAAAGCCCTCCCTAACAAAAAAAAATACTATAGTTAACAATAGTTTGCTATAGTTAACTATAGTGATAACTTTGACACTATGAAAACTATAGTTAACTATAGTGATAATTTTGACACTTTGATACACTTTGATATACTATAGTGATAATATGAAAACTTTGTTTTACCATAGTGATAAATTTGACACTATGAAAACTTTGATTTACCATAGTGATAAATTTGACACTATGAAAACTTTGATTTACCATAGTGATAAATTTGACACTATGAAAACTTTGATTTACCATATGAAAACTTTGATTTACCATAGTGATAAATTTGACACTATGAAAACTTTGATTTACCATAGTGATAAATTTGACACTATGAGAACTTTGATTTACCATAGTGATAAAATTGACACTATGAAAACTTTGATTTACTATAGTGGTCACTTTGAAAACTTTGATTTTCTATAGTGATCACTATGAAAACTTTGATTTACTATAGTGATCACTATTAAAACTTTGATTTACTATAGTGATGACTTTGACATTATGAAAACTTTGAAATACTATAGTGTTCATTATGAAAACATTGATTTATTAAAGTTATCAATCAAATATACTTTATAAAGTCTATACATCTTGTTTACATACTAGATAACATTAAATTATGTTAATTACTAATATAAAAAGACCAATTGAACTAAAAGCCAAATAATATTCATTTTAGAAATGTTATCCAGTATAAGTCTTGGAAAACCATATTTTTTTCCCAAAAAGCATAAAATTAAAAATAAAATTGAATGCAAGAAATGAATTGCATGCAAGGTGCATGGAATTATTTGAAACAGAAGACATCAATAGATATATTTTGTAAATTGAGAAAATCGGCAAAACTGGATAATACTAATATTGTGAAATTAATTATCTTCTACATGTATCACAAAAAATTATATACTGTAGAAATAAATTTTAAACTTTCAATTTCTAGAGGCTTCATGTCTAAAACCTTTATAAACCATATTACTGACTTTGAAACTTTGATTTAAAATAGTGTAAACGTTGACACTTTGATTTACCATAGTGATAACTATGAAAACTTTGATTCACTATAGAGTTCACTACGAAAACTGATTTAATTTAGTGATAACTATGAAAACTTTGATTTACTATAGTAATCACTATTAAAACTTTGATTTACTATAGTGATAACTTTGACACTATAGTGATAACTTTGAAAACTGTGATTTACTTAAGTGATAACTTTGAAACTTTGATTTACTATAGTTAACCATATTTAACTATAATAAACTATAGTTAACTGTAGTACTTTTTTGTTAGGGCTAGCACCAACCAGTTTAAAGTTATGTCCAAGATAAAACTGAGATAAAATTTTGCAAAAATGGGCCAAACTTCAAGGTCAAGAGGTCAAATATGTTGATACAAATGTACCCAAAGATTTTTCTTGTCACAAGGAATACACATGTGAAATATGAAAGCTATAGCTCCAACAAATTAAAAGTTATGGCAATTGAAAGTTTAACGCTTTTGCGGACAAACAGACAGACAGACGGATAGACGGACGGACAGGACTAAAACTATATGCCCCCGAATTTTCCACTTTTGACAACTAACTTAGTTCGATTATAGAGGCATAAAAATCAATGGGAAAGACAGAAATTAATTGAGACGATCTATTGCAGTTGAATATGTACCAAAACAAAAAATAATAGTAAAGGAATAAGTAATAAAGAAAAGTTAATAGTAAAACGAACTGATACAAACTGTTTTGTCACCCGATTTTATACAAGATGGTCTCACGGAAGCGGCGAATGCCCTACAAATACCCTTCAAATGATGATGACTTCAATGATGGTTTACTTTTGACTTTACCAAATGAAAAGGGAAAGATACCAAACAGTGATTTATCTAAATAAAAAAAACACCTACAAACAATACAAATTTGTGAGCAGGGCATGAAACATTGATTCCGGAAAATTTCAGAGGTGGGATCAGGTGCCTAGGAGAAGTAAGCATCTCCTTACGACCGGTCACACACACCGTAAGCCCTATACATTGATCAGGTTGACAAAATATTCCGTAGTAAAATTTAGTAATGGAACAAAGTTTTAACAATTGGTATGCAATATATATCAGTCAAAATGCAACCCAGTGACAAGTTGTTTTTGCTAACAAGGTCATCTTAAAGACCATAGAATTTTCGAAATGCGACTTTAAAAGAAGTTGCTGAAATCTTTGTAATATCAACTTATTTGTCAGTATCCTGTCTCGGTTTTGAGTGCTTTTAAGTATTGAATACGTTGGAATATAAACATCATATGTAGATGATAATGGATAATACTACATAAATAAGGAAAGTTGACGATGGACAAACTGTAGTCATCTCATTTGTCATGCAGTTTAGTTGTTAGTTGGTCCTTATCGTCTATAGTCAGTAAAACAGCAAAATATGAAACAGGTGTGGCAGACTCTGTGATATCTTTTATTTCGAGTTCACTACGATACACGTATATTGACTCGACATATGAAAGTAACTATTGTTAATCGATAAAACTTGTTCGATCTATCTGAACGTGTAGATGAAGACAACAGCAAATGGGTTCTTCTCATATAGAGTCACTTTGGCTTTGTCTGTCATCTTTATCAGTGGATTTTCCCCATAAATATTCCCATGTACAACTTTAGACACAAACCCTACCGCCGGGGTTCATGATTTGAACATGTTTAATCTACACTACCGAAGGATGTTTCTATATAAAATGATTAGTCATGGCTTTACTGTTCTCGAGAAAAAAAATTTCTATGTAAAACTTTGCCCATTGTGGCCCCACACTACCCTAAGGGGTTACTATTGAACAATTAAACCTGAATCTTCGCTACCTGAGGAGGATTCAATATAAATATAAAAAATATGGTTTTGCTGTTTTTGAGAAAAGGATCTCTTCTAGGTAAATACAGTAAAATTTGTCTAATCCGGACTCTGAGTGCTCCGGATTTTTGTCCATTCTGGCTATAAATTTAAGTCCCATGCACTTTTATGACAAATGCATTAGAAAAAATTCTGTGTAGACTGGATAATGTCTATTCTGTATTCCGAACGGCCATACTGGTCCCAACTGCTCATAATTAACGGAAATTATTTCCTCTAATCCGGCCACGCGTAATAACCTGAATTACTTCAAAGCAATTAACACCTTTGATGAAGATGTGCTAACGTGTGTTTACATGAGTGCCATGAGACGAACTCAAACGTTGCGGTGACACAGCCCACTTGGAGAAATGTAAGATTAAATTACAAGTAAATTAAAAAAAAAATTACTCACACATTTTACTTGCTTTTAACTCCATATCACACAGTATAATGAAAAATCAATACGGTATAGATACACGATTTGCAAATCAAAATATAAATCGGGATCGAAACTCAAACGTCTAATCCCAAAATGGCGCCATTACATTAGAGGGAAGACGTAAATTTTTACATAAAAATTAAAATTTCAATCCAATAATTATCAAATCGTAAATAGTTGTGTTTATAGTTATATTGAATGCGCTCTTTGACATGCAAAACCCGGGCCGCGTGATATTTATAGTATAATATACGAGTCTGTAGATTTTGACTCCGGTAACATTTCATGTTAAGTCCCAAACTTTGTGAACGAAAAAGAAAAATTTACAGTAAGTCATGCAATGCTCTTTAATAATTTCTAGACTCCAAAATATTAATTGATTTTATCATTTTTTAAATATATTATATATTGTACTCGTAAATAAAACAACGAAATTAAATTTCAAATATTTTCCCGCATTTTTCCTGCACTCCGGATTCTGTCTAATCCGGCCAAATTTTATGGAACCGGGGATAGCCGGTTTGGACAAATTATACTGTATATACGTTGACCTATAGGGCAGATATTGGTTT